ATTATATATATATATATATATATATATATATATATATATATATATATATATATATCATCAGAGAAAGGTAAATACATTGTTCGAATAAAGGACATAATAATACATCATGTAGCGTACGGTAGCTCTCAACGGATGCATTATTATATCCTTTATTCGAACACTGTATTTACCTTTCTTTGATGTTATATATAATTTAACGGCTTTCCTGTTAGGAAAATTTATTCGTGCGAATCGAAAGCGTCGGTTCATGGGAATGCGCAATCACATGCATTTTCTATCGGTTTTTCGCTTCAGCGAAATCGGAAATACTTTTCGCAAAGTCAAAAAATGCGCAACCAATTAGAGCTCAGGAAGCAGCCGACGCTTTTGATTCGCGCGAATAAATTCACCAAGTGGAAAACAGGCTTTATATAGCCACCTCTGCCATTACATCCTCAATAAAATTCGAATTCAAATTCAAATTACATTTAATCAATGATGGATATAATGGTATACAGTACAATACAAATAATAAAAAGAAAAAGAAAAAATAACCCAAATCCAAAAAAAAAACAAAAAAAAAAAACCATCATTGGGATCATGACTATAAAGTCAATCTTGTCTCGTGACCCCATGAACTTAAAAGCTACCATAATTATTTACTGATGGTACAATGATAAGTATTCTTTTTAAATTTTACATTTAAAGACAGGTAAAGAAACTAAATTTTTAATTGAAACATCGAGATCATTCCATAAATTAGGACTAGCAACAGAAACACAAAATTTTTGTTCTGAGTCTGACGAAGGGAACTGGGACAGAAGTACTTCTAAAATTATATATGGGTTTTCGGAGGTGTATCTAACAATTGTAACATAGGAAGACTCAGAGGAAGCGTTTTTTTTATACTGAAACATAAATATTGCCAGTTGGGCCTTGTTAATATCAAATAATTTTAACATTTTCAGTTGTTTGAATAAATGTTCAGGCGGAGTTCGGAAGGGCGAGGGTATATTCCGGCTGCACATTTTTGTAATTTAACAAGTATATTCAAATTTGAAGGATAATCAGAAACCCATACAAAGTTGCAATACTGAAAATGTGGCAAAATAAGGGTATTGTAAAGGGAAAGTAGAATATGTTCGGGAAAAGTAAACTTGAGCCTGTTGATGATGCCAATTGTTTTGGATATTTTTCTTTTTTAGAAATGTGTACCTCTCAGTAAACAAGCTATTGAACTCCCAGCCACACACGTGACATGCACAATAAATGCATTCAGAAGGTTTGAGTTAGCAACATTGACTATTTCATGTAGTAATGCTTTATTTTTGAAAATCAAGAGTAAATTACCCAACTAATAACTTAATGTATAAGCCCTGAGGGAACTCACTAATAAGCACTTCAAAAGAGCCCTATAACAGGGGGCTTAACAATATTCGCAAATGAGTAGTTCTTGAATCTAACCGACGGTAACACCGTATTTAAATGTTGACTGGTTTTCAGCTGAAATTGCCAGAAGTATAACTAATAAACTTTAACACAGGTCGGCATCCTTAGCCCAGAGTAAACCTCGCTAACCTAGAATACCGTACGGTACGTAACACAATAGGGCCTATGGTTTTTATACGCATAATGAGTTCACCATGAATATTCCTGTAAAAAAAATAAGGAAACTAAGTATTTATTCCTTCACAACTTAAAAAAGTTTCAGAGGTTTTATAAGTTCCCAATTGTTAATTAATAATATTCATGATGACATGATGATGATAATGATGATAATATGTTGACGATGGTGATCATGAGGATGTTGACGACGACAATGACGATGATGATGGTGATGATAATAATAATTATTTCAAAAATTTCAAAATGTATTCAAAAACCTCCAAAACGGCGAGCACATCAGGATAAAGTATAACGAAGCATACAAAGAATATACAGAACAGAACAGCAAAACGAGACGAAAACAGCTAACAGTATTAGGCCTATTATTCAGAAGCTCATGAGTAACAATTTTAGGTTCAAAATGGTGTCGTTGTTATGACAGGGGTCTCTCCATAATTATAATGAAAATGATACTATGATAACATGAAAAATGTCACTAGATGTTTTTTTATTCGTAAACATTTTTATTCACTTTTTCATCCATTGCACCATGATTGCCCTGATGCGCGGTAATATAGTAATAGGCATAAGCCTAAAATCTACACGCGGGGAATTATCATTGGTTCATGAACTTCAAAGCTTGTCTGTAGACACTCTAAACTATTTTATCAAACTTCCAATCTACCTGCAGTCAAAATCACGTGGTGACTGAAACAATAAATCATGGGAACATTTAAGCTTAAACGACGGTGGATATTAAACAATTGGCAGAGGTTGAAATTATGTGCAGCCTCGTTAAACATGCCAGGGCTTTAAAAAGAATTGGTGCTTGTCGAGTGACGTAAGCATTGATATTAAAAGGTTACACACAAAAAATCCTTCTAAGTTTATATTTCCTAGCTTCTCATATATAGTAGAACTATTTCTTTGCCCCCATTTGCTGTCACTAGATGCTTTCTTAAAAGCTTTATTTCGAAAATTCAATGCATACACAATAAATTACAGTATTTAAAATAGAAATTTTCTAATTTAAAATGTCAGACCAAAATTAAAAAGCACTTTATTATACACTGTTTTCACAATCAGGTTTATTGGGCACATTAATACGCAACATAAAACTAGATTTGCGCATAAATGCACAAAAACTAGGGATACCAAAATGAACAAACATATCAGACGTACGTCTGATATGTTTGTAGTACGTACTACTGAATTTACTCAATTTCATTAACACACGCAAAACATTATTATAACACACTTTAAGAGAACTAAAGTTACACTTGGTGTAATTAAACCAAAGTGTACTACAGTAAAAATTCATACAAAGACTTAAATAATTTGATATTAACCATGGAACAGTGAAACTGTTAACTGTTTGACTGTTCCCTGATTTTAACTGATTTAAAATTTTATGCGAAAAAATATTAGACTGATTATACTCGCCAAGTCGTCCTAAATACAGTGGTGGTGCCAGCGGGGGTGGGGGTAAGGAATCAATTATGGCATCCCCTCCAAGTTGGATAGGCCTTGATCACGTCGTCCGACGCCACGGCGAGGTCCTTGGACAAAAATAATAATTTGCCTATTCAGATAACGTTATTTTGATCATATTACATCTTTTTACATATGCCTATCCCTGTTTAGATTGCCGATCCCGATATTCTGAAAGCGCAATTTGGGCCTTACTAAGCCATAAAAACTCACACTGTGAAACCCCATACCATGGAATTTTTACTCACGGACCCTGACCGAGGCTCTAGTCGGCCCTAGGTTCGGATCGCCTGTCGGACATGTCACGACCCGTCAGAAAATGTCTGTAGCCACCGCTGCCTACACGATGACAAATTAAAGTTCTCAAAACTCTTTTTATTATGAGGCTTATATGCGTTGTAGAGGATATAAAAACAGATGGTTTTAAAGGATTGCATTCTAACAACCAACGGAGTAGGGTGAATCGATCACCACTATACCGTAAAACCTAGAATAGAAGCCCTGGGCTTCTTTTTCTTTGTGATCTTTGGATGGGTTGTCTATATATTGAGCTTTTCAACAAAACGAATTTCCTTCTTGGACAAATAAAGTTTCTGTATTTCTGTATTTTCGAAATGGGTTTCTTTTAGAGATGGGTTTTTTTTCGAGGCTACATTTGCAAAGTAAAGAGCAGGGCCTCTTTTCAAAATGAATGCTGTAAATGTTTTGAATTAATATTATAAAACAATAAATAGGGCCGCTGTAACATCAGTCTGTATCAATGGGAGTGTATTAACCGGCATTAAATCACCTAAACTTCTGAATAAACCAAGCGTGATTTTAATTAATCTTGTTTGTTTTAAATATGTACAGTGTCTCGAAAAGAAGCCTAGACTATCTTGAAAATAACAAACACAAATTTATTTTGATTTATTGATTGATTTTGATTAATGCAATGATTGATTTTGATTTAATGATTGATTTTGATTGATTGCATGATTGATTAATTTTGCTTGATTCATTAATCAAATGACTGGAATTACCTAGGAAATGGTGATTATGAAGAAGATATATGCCGAAGTTGAAAAGATCAATACAAGAACGTTGCCTAATTCATGTTAAACGAGAAATTTAATTGGCTATTCAAACACAAGGTGATTTCACAAATTGAAACACCACAAAAACTCGACAAAAGGTCGGGACAACAAGCACAATAGTCGAATGACCCAATGAAGCCTTTCAGTGAGAAACCTTTGCTCTGTGATTCGTTTCTAGTATCTGTCAGTGCGTTACCTTAGCCTCCTATAAACACTGATGAAGGCATTTCATGAAATCACTTCACGGATAGGCACATTTGGATACAGTAGTCAGCCACGGCAACATTGGCAGATAGCGCGTCTTAACAAGGTGCCAGTGTAGTTTTGGGTACTGTATATCCTTCATTATCCACATACCAACGCAATTTTGACTGGTAAGTAGGATATATCATACAGAATTAATTAATATGTCTTGTATAAATTATCTTGTGCTTAACACTTGAGATAGTCATACCGGGAAAATACTGCAAACTTATCAACAAAAGATATACGGTTTATTACATGATTAAATTATTTTTTTTTATAGCAAATTTCTATTCTATCTGTTATAACTTTCCATATTACGAGAATATTCGATCATATCTGTAAGTATTTTTATCCCCCTCCCATATCAGCTCAACCTAGATAGAGTATAAGTTGTTCCCTTTTTCATATTTCATTCATTTTCAGCAGGGGTGGCGCCAGCGGGGCACTATGTATTTTCTACATAATAGTAGACTCCAAAATCGTTTCGTCCCCATAGAACTCTTTCGAGAGATTTTTTGAACGACACCCGACCACGCCCACTTTGTTTTTCTTTTGAGGTATTTTCCCCTCCCCGGCGGGGACCTCAGACCCTCTCCCATCCTCCGTCGCGCAAATCCTGGCGCCACTTCTAATTCTGAGTAGTACCGTATTTAGTGATCAGATTTTTTTAATTTCCTGTTTTTCTTGTGTGTTTTTAATTCACAACTTTTTATTGACATTGTAAGTAAATTTTCCTGCATTTTAAACAGCATACAATTTGATCCTTATTATATTCTTAACGGTTAAATTATAAGCTTATGACAGATATTCACATAGATGATAAAATACAAATATTTAATGTAAAAATAAAGAAAATAGATATAACAAATTTCATATTCATGCCGAAGTCTCAGATCCTAGAAAATGACAACGTATTCGTTATATTTGTTAAGTGCAATTAATGTTTTAGAGCAACGAAATTACACACATTTATTTAGGATTACATTACCTTATTATGCAGCCCACACACCACTGCTTAACATTCGTGCCCCTTCCTCGTGTAAATACTAATAAATATGTTTTGATGGATATATATACATATTTATTAATATTAATATTTCTATTATTATTATTATATTATTATTATTTATATTCATATTTATGTTTATATTTATCAATAATATTAATAATAATAATAATAGTAATAATAATAATAATACATTGCGCTAATAACGAATTCGTTATTAGAGCAAATTCAACAACCTCATTAATGTTTGTTTTTTTTTTCAAATTGTTGAAATGCAGTTATTATTATTATTATTATTATTATTATTATTATTATTATTATTATTATTATTTTTACTATTATCATTATTATTATTAAAAATTAAAAATATTCTTTAAAAAATCATTTAAAAAGAATGAAAAAAATGTGTTCAAAGATCTATAGAAATTTTATTAGAAAAAAACCCTAAATTGTCTGGCAAGGTGGGGTATAAGGGCCTACAAAGACTAGCAGCAGTAAAGCCTCGGAGGTGCTTAGCAGTCGGACTACATTATCTTAACATCCTTTAATAGATGGCAAAAACACTTTCTTCGTTCTAATCTTTAAGCGAAATCTAATAATCAATCATCAAAATATAGAAAGTATACAAAAGTTTATTCTTAATCTCATCTTTTTTACTCCATTTTGAGAGCCTTGTACTTGTGAATTTTGCACCCTCGGGCTGCATTCGGATTAAATTAAGACACAACAAACGCCTGCAGAAGCAATGTGTAAGTGTACTTAACTTGAACGTAATGCCATTAACGTCATTCTTAACAAATCAGTTACTTTATAAGGGCGACGGTGAGGTATCATGGTAAGTGTGGGTAATACAATATTTAACTTTGTTCATTCAATCCAAATGTGCTCAAGTACCGCAATGTATAATTTCGCATTAAAGACGACATTTCACACAATTGAGGACAGTGTCTAGGAGGTGCCACTCTATCTTTTGACAGTAGCTCGAAGTGTCGAGATTGGCAGATCAAACCATTTACTAGGTAAACAAACAGTATAAAAAGGCCAAAACTAAAGATGTCTGCATGTTCGATGAAAATGTATTTAAAAAGAAATAATGCCTAGGCCTACTATTGTTAATTTTTTTATGTCTTTATTTTTACTGGTTTGGGACCAGCGATTTATGGACTAAGTGTCTGTGCTGGTTCCAATCTGCGTGACATGTCAATCAATTTTTAGTTTGTTTTCTTATTATAATTATAAGGACTAATTGAATGAAGACAAAATAATAATAATAATATTGATCACATCCACTGGTATAAAGTAAACATCAACCTCGCGAATTCTAACGATTACAGTATTCTGAAATCTTTAGCGGGATGATTCGACATTACTTACTTACTAAATGTTATAGAAACAAACAGCGGTAATGGGGTGAGAAACCAAGTAACTCTTAACATTGCTTAACAACAAAAGTAATTTCAACAAGTTGTCTGAAACGTTATAAAGATGTCATAGAAAAAAAGTACGTATATAACAGATGATATGAATAAAATTGAGCATTGGCGCTAACGACAAGGTTAGGTGTTAACATTATAAGCAAGATAATGGACGTACTTTTATTCTGTGCCAATCTCCTTTTAATGCTCATTTAATTAAAGGGTTGAATGATCTCTACATACGGTATTGTGTAATTGTTGTATAGCTTATTAATTGTCCTTAACTTTAAAAGCGTTTTACTCTCGAAAGGACAAGATTAATTAAAATATTATGCTTTGCTTGGGTAACGTCTAAGTCAATGTCAAATTTTTGTAGGACAACAATTAAATGAACTCGATAATCATTCACCACGTTACCGAGTTTACTTAAACGCATACCGTACTATATGTAACTTAATTTTTACCAGGATTTTTCAATTACGAAAATATCAATTCAATTAACTTTTATTCCAATATCAATATAAACAATACAATTATCAGCAAAAGAAATACAATGGTAGCAGATAAAGAAAAAGTTACAAAATAAGCAAGAAAATGCTTTAAATATATAACCCTGCAAAAAGAATAAAACAATAATAATAATAATAATAATAATAATAATAATAATAATAATAATAATAATACAGAAAAAAATAATATTAATAATAGTATAACAACATCTATCATTGTTAACATTTATTTTTATATTTTTCTATAAGATACTGAAACAATTGCTTTTCAAATTTACTTATTGTAGTTAACTCTTTTAATTCATCTTTTAAATTATTCCAAATTTTGCCCTTTCATAAGATATACATTGTTGCCCCGCGCTTCTATTGCAATTTTTAATCAATTTTTTTTCTAACTTTCTGATCTGTTACTACATAGTTCTACTGTTTTTCTCCCAGATATTGGAGAGTACAGTAAGACAGGTAAATCACAAAATGTGAAAGTGGTAACGATATGATAACTGTGTCATTAAAAGTGATTGTTAAAAGTCATGGGATAACACTAAATAGTATTTTCTGACTTATCCTAGACCAAAACGTTCACAACATTCGCAAATTTTATTATAGTGTGCTGTGGTTGCTGGGTGACCACCCCATGCCAGGTTTCGTTCAGCTCCAACCATGCAGGTTTCTCTAGCTCTATTCAACCACCTGTCAATTAAAACCATAATAAAGATTGAGTACCTAGTTGGAGGGAACTACAATTGTTTTGAAGTGACATTGTATTCCATGAAGGAGAAAATCAAGTCGAGACTTGAAAAATTCCCCGCTTTATCTTTGTAACGATCGTACAATGAAAACCAAAATTACAGCAATCATCTAAATAATGTTTTTCTAACTGTCCTCGTCTTGTAAAATACACTTGCTTATGAAAGAGAACTGACCTCAGGGGGAAGTGCACAGCTTTGGAGTTCACAGACAAGAGACCTTTTTGAGAGTTTGTCCTGGGTAATTAGGAGGTTAGTTAATTTTGTTCAAGTTTTAATCCATTTGAATACTTTTTGTATGTTAACTTTGAAAAAGGTAACCGCAATGTGTACAACCAAACTGAAAAGTAAACTATCAATAGGTTAGAGGCGCGCTTGGAAGAGGAAGCCACAAATTGGTCTACGTTGGTTAGGCCTATGTTTTATATATTAGACGCTACACACAAAATTTAACAACCGTTCCATTCTTATTTCAGAATGTTAATACACTATAAGCTAATTCCTCAACGAGAAAAACAAATTTAGTTTCTACAATGAGAAGTGAGAAAGGGAGCTCTGGATTGAAACTCAGGATTGTCCTATTGGGAGAGAAAGGAGTTGGAAAATCAGGTAAGTTGGCCTAATTTGGCAAAGCATTTAGGATATATTTTATTTAGAAAAGGCAACAGTACTCAAGTTTGCTATACTTATTTTTAGATTTTTTTTAAAGAGAATATAGGTATTTTGTAAATATATATATTTAACTATGAAATATGATTGACAATATGTATTTTGGCAGTTGCTTTCTCCTTGGACTTATAACTAAACTAATTTTGACAGAACACATTTAAATCATTAAATTTAAAAAAAAATGCATTACCATAGATTTAGTATGAATCCTATGTGATTTGTTGTATAATTAAAAAATAAAGAAGTTAGGCCTATTTAGAAAAAAAAGTTACATATGTTTTGCCAGAAGTTAACCGACAATTACTGTGTTAAGTACAATTTGTTTCCTTATGTCAATTGAAAATTAAATGAAACAGATCTGAGTTGTCAAAAATATAACTAAGACTTGCAATTGCTAAGCACAACCCTTAATGGCACACGCAATATGATTAGAACGTGGGAGACAACACGTACCTCAGATAGTAGGCGTGTAAGATTGGTCCTTGGGTGTGCTGTTAATTATCTTTTTGAAATGTCTTAATCTCAACACACACAAACGTCGGCATATCAATCAGAGTACTAATGAATTTTATTATCTCATTTTCATTTATTTTCTATCTTAATTAAGCTGCTTGGGTACCGAGGTCTATGTAAACAAATCAGGACAAGAGGTCTTAAATCTGCTAATGAGTTTGGCCTGTTGTATTATTACAGATATCTTTATTTCAATATGTCAATGCTGATAAGTGCATCCTTGGTTGTTTGTAACGATTTCCAAATAACACAACTTTATAAAACTAAAGTCACAAAGCAAGAAGAAACAATCTGTAATCAATTATTGTCATGGCATTTAAATTTTGTTGTGAATTTAGGCCTGTAATGAAAGACCCCTCCAATTAAAGACCGCTTTTCTGTGGTCCCAAATTAACAAATGTCTTATTTTTATTATTCTAATTACAGACAAAGCTGATAAAGACCATGAAAACCCTGGTCCCAAAAGTGGTCTTAAATTGGAGGAGACCTATAGTTTATATAACAATATAACTTGATTTGTCATGAATTACATAGATTTTCCAAATTTAGATTCAAATCCATCAACATTTTGCCAGAAATTAAAACATGTAAAAACTGTATTTTTTTGTTTTAATCATAATTATTTATTGTACTGTTTTCAAATATTTTTTGAATGTTTTTATAGTGATTTTTGCATTGTATTTATGAAATGAAATAAATAAATGGACAAAGCCAGAAAGCTGTAGTCAGCAAAATTATTAAATAAGTTATTATATTTGATGTTAATATAACGTCTAAGCTGAATTGTTTATAGAAATAAAACAATTTTTAAAGTACACGTTTTGATTGCGCTACAGAGAGTTACAATATAAAATGTGAAACAAAAGGTAACACAACAGACAGCATTATACTAAAATTAAACAGTAGGGTATAGGCCTACATCTATGAATTCCTTTAACGGAATTTCGTTCCATTACAGCTATTGCTGTACGATTCCTCTGTGGTAGATACCTGCATGAATACGATCCAAATTTAGGTAAGTGTTTCTTAACGTTCCGAATCTCTAAACGAGTATTATCATATCATTACTTGTGATGGTCTCTCATAGGTGTATTAAGGAATGTTATCGTACATCAAATTATATTTTATATTTTATAGACACTCGTCATGAGATATCTTTTTGTAAGTTTAGTCCGTATTTTGAAGTAGTTAACATTCAATAATACTGAATGCGCCAAAAATGACAAGTTCCTGCTTTGTTTGACTGACCACCTCAGATACTGTAATAGAATAATAATAATAATAATAATAATAATAATAATAATAATAATAATAATAATAATAATAATAATGTATTCATTTATAGTGTGCAAATTCCATTAAAATGTGTTCAATTTAGGAACATTTAACATAAGAGGTTCGATGTGTTCCATGATGGTTTAATGCCAGCAGTATTTTACTCAGGATTGGGGCCTATAATGATCAAAATTTCACAACTCTGATGCGTTTGGGCTAAATATATTTACAACACGTTGAAATAGGCGATTTTCGGTAATTTTTGCTAAACTCCACCCTCTGGACATTGTTGCTAACGTATGCATGGGTGGCGCCAGGATTTTCCCGACGGGGGTCCGACGTTCCCTACGGGAAAGGGGCACGTCCAGGCGAGAGAAAGTGGGCGTGATCGGTCGTCGCTCTTAAAATCTCTCGAAAGTGTTCCAGAGGGCGAAGCTCCGAGAAATATGGAAATTTAGGGGTTTCTAAGAGTTATTTAGTTAGTCGACTTTAAAGTCTACTAATATGTAGAAAATACATAATTTTTTTTCTTTCCGACGAATTGTAGTTTTTCTCCCCGAGGGGGGTGGGGGTGGGCTGGCCACTGAACGTGTGGGAAAGTAAACAGCGTAATCGTAAGTGAATTTGCAAGTTTGTGGGACATACGCGTATTCATGGCTATTAATTTACGTGTTATGATTACTGTACTCACTGTAATAATAATAATAATAATAATAATAATAATAATAATAATAATAATAATAATGTATTCATTTATAGTGTGCAAATTCCATTAAAATGTGTTCAAATGCGCATTAAAATAAAATACAGTGCACCCTCCAATTCGGGACCACTCTAAATCTGAGACCCTCTAATTCGATACCACTTTTCCAAAGACCCAAATAACAATCTTCAACCTTTTAACAAAACGCTAGTCCTCTAATTGGAGGTGGTCTCGAATTGGAGGGCGAACTGTAGTCAAGAACACAAGTTTACAATAAAAGCGAAAGTTATAATTTTTTTATTTGTATTTTTTACGACAGAATGCTGTTACGACAAACATGAGATAATTGATGGAAAGACCGTCAAAATAGAAATATTCGACACAGCAGGACAGGTAACGTCATTAATATGAATATTCAAAATGTTTTACAAATAGCAGGTCTTACTTTATGTAATACGAATAGGGGTTGAAATATTAAAATCGAAAGATTGTAGATTCTAAATGTAATACTAGTGTTGTTAAGATTTGTATTTTGCAGGGCATTGCCAACATACATTAGCACCAAAGAAAGTTTTCAGTTTTGGAAAATCGCAATGTAGAATGCTTTAAATGTGCCTTTACTGGTAATAACCAGAACCGCATCTAAAGACAGTTTGGCCAAATAGATATTTGGAATATTTGATATTGATACACCAGAAATGTTATGATTATTGAAATTTCAAATTATTACATTCTAATCGTTTTAAATTATTTTTTCTCTCGCAGGACGTACTGGATAACTATCTGAAAAATGCCGATGCTGTTCTGTATGTCTACTCAATTACGTCAGAGAAAAGTTTCGCTGCCGCAAAATCCTTCCGCGAGGAACTGCTTTTGGGTGATAAGAGCCATATTCCTGTAATCCTCCTCGGAAATAAAAGAGAGCTTGAACAAGGACGCCAGGTTTCGTACAAAGATGGATTCACTCTAGCCAGAGAAACGAACTGGAAATTCTACGAAATGTCTGCTGCAGTTGACACTCATAGAATAAACGATATGGTGTTAAACCTCGCAAGTGAACTGTTGGCTGAAACTAAGAAATCTAACCGACAAAGACGGACTTGGAAAATTAAACGAGCAATGAGTATTCTAAATGTTCACATTCATCAACCGAAGCATAGTAGCTTTCCGTCCGTACTTATGCCCTTAACTGAAAACAAGACTGATCCTCCTAGGTCGCCTGCGTTGCCCCAGCATCCAAGGTTGGCAAACAGAAGGCAAACCTGCCCCGCTCTATGAAAAAGAATATACAATAGACTGCGACAAAAGACTTAATCCTTGAGTCTGGCGAAAGGAAGGCTGTATTATTGTATTACTTGTATTGATGAACTGTTACATAATGGTATCCAATTTTACAAGAAATGTGCAATATTCTAAAGCATTGTCCAGATTATCAAAGTTTCTTCGGCAAAAACATTGTTGTATGCCTATATATATTCATGATGTGCCTATATATGGTCATGATGTGATGTCATCACCACCATATTTAGGCATGTAACATTTCCTTGCAATATAATTTGGTTGTGTGGATAGGGATTAACGACGGTGGAATACGGTACCCTTTATGTGACGTGTACAGTTTTTGCCGAAAACTAATCCCGCATTGGGTAGATTAGTTAACTGTCCGCTACATCCAAACTATTCCTACAGAAAGGTTATGCTGTTCTACTGTTGACGAAGTGCTAAGGATTTGTTTAGAACTAACTGTATGGTTGCAGTGGTACATTGAAACAATAGGTTGTCATGCATTCAAAGTGTCGAAATATTTGATAATGGGTATGATTTGTCAGATAGATGTCTATTAAATATAAAATCATGTGACGCTTTGGGCTAGCAACCGAACGGTTGTTGGTCTAGACCGATTCTATCAGATCTACATTTCCTATTCCGTGATCAAATTAATTCACCAGTCTACTACGAACGCTAGTCCTGAATGGGTAGCTAGAATAGTTTTAAATAATAAATAATAAAATAATGAATGAATTTGCTATCTGCGCTCACGACCGTGTTATACACAATAATTTATTCGAGAATTCAAAAAACTCCAAGGTTTTTAATATTTTAATTTATTTGTTCACTAGAAATTACAGAGGTTTATAAAGATACTAAAGAATGAACAATAATGATTCAAGTAAACTTTCTTATAAATCAAATGTGGCTCACTTTCTAATACAAATTGTTATTAAACATAGTAAACTTATAAAAAAAACAACAACTTTACATCTAAAAAGTTACGAATGCAAAAATATACCTAGCCTTTAACATCGATCTTGATTTTGTGAAAAAAAAAATATCTCGGAATTATAATTATAAATATGAAATTAATTTAGAAGGCCAAAGAAAATGATACAATGAGGTGATATAAAGAATGTCCAGCATCCACGAGTTCAAATACGTAGTGCACATGATTTTTCCCAAGATGGAGTCATATAAAGTAGGATCCCTGAGATTTTTACCTAGGTTATCTTTCTGGGGACAGTAAAATGATGATGAAAAATCCCAGTGCTCATTGTTTTATAAGAAGTTAATTATAGAGATAATAACCAAGGCAACGATGCCAACTGAAAATTTATCGCAAACTTACGTCAGCAAAACACAAGCAAACTTGTACAGCTATGTACAGTGAACAAACATGTATGTTTGTGTATGATATTCCCGTTATTGTTCAAAATGTTTGTAGCATACTGTAGTGTACATGACTAATATACTTCCACCTCTGCATGTGGTCAACTATAAATATTTATATATGCTGTATATCTATTTACATTTCAGTGCAAACACTGCTTTCATCTTTTATTGGACCCTCTACGAGTTTTAAGGGCTCGGTTAGTTGGCAAAACTTTCACACAGGAACCCTCTCTGTTACCGGTTTATGTATATATCCCCCTCAAATTTTACTGTTCTCTAACGCCTGGACTTATTTATGTTCCGATGTTGGGCATTCAGAAATATATTTGCAGATATTGATCTAAAAGATTGCTATCAATAACCCAGCGTACATTTAACATAAGAGGTTCCATGTGTTCCATGATGGTTTAATGCCAGCAGTATTTTACTCAGGATTGGGGCCTATAATGATCAAAATTTCACAACTCATGCGTTTGGGCTAAATATTTTTACAACACGTTGAAATAGGCGATTTTCGGTAATTTTTGCTAAACTCCGCCCTCTGGACATTGTTGCTAACGTATGCATGGGCGGCGCCAGGATTTTCCCGACGGGGGTCCGACGTTCCCTACGGGAAAGGGGCACGTCCAGGCGAGAGAAAGTGGGCGTGATCGGTCGTCGCTCTTAAAATCTCTCGAAAGTGTTCCAGAGGGCGAAGCTCCGAGAAATATGGAAATTTAGGGGTTTCAAAGATTTATTTAGTTTGTCGACTTTAAAGTCTACTAATATGTAGAAAATACATAATTTTTTTCTTTCCGACGAATTGTAATTTTTCTCGGGGGGGGGGGGGGGGGGGGGAGATGGGCTGGCCACTGAACGTGTGGGAAAGTAAACAGCGTAATCGTAAGTGAATTTGCAAGTTTGTGGGACATACGCGTATTCATGGCTATTAATTTACGTGTTATGATTACTGTACTCACTGTAAACTACGCAAATGTTAATTAAACCACAGTCATTAACTTGGTTAACACAGATCAAAGCGAGCATTCTTTTTCTTTTTAATCTGAGATGTGCTAATAACTTTTTAAATTTTACAATTGCTTACTCTGTATGAATGAATAATCTATTATTTGCACAGACCACTCAGCTTACTGGTAATGATGTGATGTCAGCACATTATTCGCGCCTGATAGTAAGTTTTTAACTTATTAAATACTATTACAGTAATTCATTTTTGGATTTACAAATTTGACGATCCTGATGGTATAATATCGTTAACTTTGAAACATTAATATTGAATCATGTTCTCTGGTCACTATGTGTCACCCATACACAAGTATCCTGGGTTCCAGAACCAAAATTTTGATTACTCGAGGAGAATTCTGTGAAATGTAATCCTTTTATTGCACTCAGTGCGCTCCATACCAAATTTAACTGGCGTCCTATACTCGATTTTCTACTCAACATATAAACAAAACAAACGTTGACTTTAGATTAGAAATGTGACTTTATTAGAATATAATATGATGGAAGACAAGTGTGAATGTACTATACTAAAATTTTACCAAGTTCGAACATCTTTCACTTTTCTACAAACGTGAATACGGTGTAGGAAAAGTAGTGCATTTAAGAGGCATAGAAAGGTGAAGTTGCAGACGATAAAGATTTGCTTGAACTACCCGATAGATTAACAACTTTGCTAAAGATACAAACGATATGACGTCATTATGTGACGTCATGGATCATGTGTGATGAGCAATATAGAGATATAAACATAGGGTTGTTGGGGGAAGTGATATCACACAACTATATTTCAGAGACATAAAATTTGCATATAACATTTGCATTACTATAAACCCTACGTTCGATGGATTTGATAGTGGGTGCATTTAACAGTTACTATAATAGAATAACTACAGTGTGAAAAATGGAATGTCAAAACTTATACAGACTGTAAAGATAAGAGGGATCAATATGTTGTTCAACATAACATTTTAGGCTTTCAATAATTTTTTTTTGGAGAAAATTTAAGTTGTGAATTTTAAGATTTGCTGTAAATTTCTCTTTAAATATTTAATAGTAAAATTTTATAAGCTAAACTTGCCTAAGTCGAATCCAAAATACCATTGAAATATTGTTCAACTTAGATAAAAGTCGACTTACAGATTGTTAATTAATGGAAAACACAACAATTTGACGTGTAAAATTAGATCAACTTAGAAAATTATTTGATTTATGGCAAAGTCGACTTCGGCAAGTTTACTGTACAAATCAACTATATTTATGACATATCTATAAATAATTTTCTTCTTGACTGGTCAACAGATGAAGCATAAATTTAGAATTACATAAATGAATACAAGAAGTAAAAGCTGTGGTACTTTCTTTTCTAAAGCTTCTTTACCATGCAGTAATTTATTAAATATTTAGCAGATTTGAGTCAAACCGACAGCAAGTCAAAATGGCAATAAACAATCCAAGTAGAAAAAGGGCAAACCTTCTTAGTTTTAGCCTAACAACCCAACATAGGATCACAATTAGCACAATGTAGGCCTATATGAAATTACTGTAGGTACAGTAAAAATAATAATAATAATAATAATAATAATAATAATAATAATAATAATAATAATAATAATAAAACACAAATGATGGTGGTGGAGATAAAAAGCTTGTAGTTTAAGATGCTTGCCACCCAATCCTAGTGTCCTGGGTTCAATTCTTGTCATGGTAATCAGATTTTTTCAAACGACCAAAAACAACTTAAGCATCTTGTGTTTAGATTTGTCTTGTGAAAACATATGCCACTTAGAAAAATAATTAAGTTCGCTGTTTGGCATAACCAATGTTAACTACAATTACCATTTATAGAATTTTATTATAATTATGTTTTTTTTAATGGTTAAATCATTGTTATTTAATCATGGCTACTACAGGAAAGGTGAGCATATACACCTGTAAAAATATATGAGCTGTCTTACATACATTTCTTTGTATGTACCAAAATGTTTAATCATTCCTAACCAAATACTTATTTCTGTTTCTAGATATGAAAATCGTTAAATGAATAGGTTGAATATTTTCATAAATTACTCCTGTAACAAACATGATCATAGGAGATTGATAAAAACTGAAAATAAAATTTGGTTACTGCCCTGGTACTGCCATTTTAATTGAAAATTTTTACTTATTTCATTTATTGCCATTTTGGTTTTATTGCTATTCTGATCTGCTTTTATTCGCTAAAAGCCAATGTACATGAAGGTTACTGTTGACTAAGAATATCTATACAGCAAGTTTTCTTAGACAAGTATTTGTCAGGATATTAGAAATATAATACAAATAGAATATTTAACAGTACTAATGAAAATTAAGGCCAAACATTCATATGGGATGGGAGCACACTGAATAGGCCAACAAAATTCCATAGAGACGGCAAAACCATGGATTATTTTCAATGATGATCACTCATATGGCATTGCATCATCCAGCATTAAGGCCTGTTCATACTTCAACGATAACGATAATGATAAAAAAGCTAAAAAGCGATTGGTCATATAGAACACAAAAGAAATAAAAAGTTTTTACACTAGGACGATTCGATAAAGACTTATCGTGTATACGATAACAAAATATTTTAACAAATCAAATCAGATGATGTCATAATCATGGAAAAACGATAAAATCGTTGCTACTACTACGATTTTAATGTTTTTCCATGATTATGATGTCATCTGATTTGATTTGATCAAAATATGTTGTTATCGCACAACTGTAAAATAGTTATCGAATAGTTCTAGTGTAAAAACTTTTCGTATTTCTTTTATTTTCTATATGAACAATTGCTTTTTAGCTTCTTTATTGTTATCGTTGTATGCCCATATATAGCTATGATATGGCTATAGATATTGTTATAATGTGATGTCATCATGACTACATTTAGTCATGTCGCATGTTATTGTCAAGTAAAATTTGATAGTCTGTACCAAGTTTTAAATGTGTAATAAATTTGTTTTTTTTCTCTTTTCATTATATTCATCCTCCTTTGTTTTAAAACAAACAATAAATATAAAAATTTCTCTTTAATTACAATTTGTATTACCCTATGTAATGTCAATCACAATTATGACAATTATTATTTACCAAAAATGTGGCTTAACCATAAGTTATGTAAAATATAGCTGATGAACTACCACCACATGGCAGCATTGCACTTGGACAATTTTTTTCATGGATCAATACCTTGTTTTATAGTAAGTTTTAAAACTTATTCAAAAGCAATAAAACTTCCAAAAGCTTGTATTATTGAAAAATTATAAGCCTCTTTATATAAGTGAAATCAATTCACCAAGAAAAGTATTCATAGAAATTAAGTACTTAGCCAGGGAAATTCATTACTACCATAAAACCCATCACCGAGATACTAAAGATAATAAATAATAATAAAAAAAAAAAAAAAAAAAAAAGCAAAGAAAAATTTTCAAGTGATTCTTGTAGATAAATTTATCCAAATAAAGAACAAAATGTATTTGAAAAAAAAAATAAACAAATCTAATAAGGCCCAAAAAAATGTTGTTGTATAAGCCCGACAAACCCAAAATCTAGTGTTACCCTATTTTACGAAAAAAACAAAAAAACCAAAAAAAAAACCCACTTTTTTTTAACCAAGGAAAAACCAAATTACAGAACTTAATGGTGTGAAAATACCAATTTTCAAGCTTTGATTAATGAATTAGAGAGCTTAACATTGAATTTTAGCCCTGTGGTTACATTTTCAAAAACCAAACTGTATGGGTAAGTGATGGTTGGCAATGTACCTTAAAATAAGGCCTACACCTACAGTAAAAGAAAATGTAAGGTTACAGTAACACTACATGCCTCAAGCCTCAAGACTGACTCAGTACAGTTGAGAAATTTGTAGTCTAAACCAACTTCGGTTGACTCATGCCTGGCTTGAAATTGCTCTCAACCCACACAGTTCAACACAAGCAAGGGTCAAGGTTGACCCTAGGTTGACCTAGAATTGCAAAAATGTGACCAATCACATAATGGAATTACAATGTTTATGCATGGATCTATTAATAATAGGTCCATGGTTTATGCTCTAGGATTTCTATTTGAATTAGGTCAATCCATGTAAGTGTGGACACTGGACATTTTCATGCCAGGCATGAGATCTCAACTGTACTGAGTCAAACTGACCAACTCTGATGTCCAAATGTCAATAATATGTCAAAAATCTTTTTGTTTGGCCTGCTAAACAACACCCCATCCTATGGGAGTGTTTAGAAAATAACAGAATAGAAACAAAAAATGTGTACAGTATTGAGGAAAAAAAAAAAAAGTTCTGCAGATATTTCAAGCATCAGAGTTCTTCTTTGGTTTTGTCTTGTGGTGATAAATTTTTCATATAATTTGTGAAATCATCTGCCGACCTGCCAGCGTCGTAATCCTTTGAGAACGCACCGTTGGTAAATACCTTGAAAGTTGGGTAACCACGCACCCCATACTTCTGACAAGTATCTGAAACATAAAAAAAATATGTTTGATTACACCAGAAGGAATATACAACAGGTTGTTAACAGTTGAACATTGGAGTATACTATTACAAGATACTGCATACCTACAGAATGATGTAGTGGTAAGGCATTGGGCTTTAAAATCGAGAGGTCGGGGGTTAAAGCCGGAGTCTGAGTACCTGTTTTTGTGTTAAAGGGCAAGGTAACCTGCTCTTCTGCTGTTGTTTTGAAGTAAACTAAAAAAAGTTACTGCATGAAAAGGAGGGAAAATAACCAAAATACATGTGATGAATGAGTGAATTAAGTCTAAGAGTTGTGGAGGTTGGTCATTGTGTCTGATCAACTTAGGTGAAACAAAAAGCAGTCAAATATTTTTTAAGACCAAACACAAAAGTCACCTCTAAACATGCACAGCGCCTTTGATTTTTACTTCGGTGTATTATTATATTATTATTAACAATTTCTGAAATATTTACCAGTATTCTCAGTACAGTCAACAGCTGCAAGTTTTGTCCCTGCTTCATCCTTGAATGACTCAGCTGCTTCCTGGAAGGCTGGCTTAGCTGCTTTGCAGTGGCCACACCAAGGGGTGTAGAACATTACCAGTACATTCTTAGTAGCAGCGATAAACGTATCAAAGTTGGCAGTGGAGAGGTGGTTGACGGAGCTGGGTATTTCGTACCATTTAGGATCAACGGGGGGTGGTGCAGCTGGCTTTGGGCTGAAAGCAAACAAGAAGATAATTAAATATTTAATTGTTGATGTTTTTATCATTATCATTAATATTTAAGTAATTTGAAAGATTCATAAATTTAGGCAAGACTTTTTATAATACCTTGTTTAGCAAACTCATTTTAAAGGTCATCAAAGGAGGGTGGGGAAAAAAATGAAATTTTGCATTTTAATTTAGATATTTAGAATATCTTATGATATTGCGAAAAGCATCTAGGCAGAGGAAAAAAAAAATTTATTGATGAATGTAAACAGTGTATGAGATTTATAAATGCTTTAAATTTATATAATTAAGGAAGAAATTATATTTTTTTAGATTTCAGAGCGGAGGGCGTAGGGCTAATAGAAATAAAAAATAAAAAAAATTGTGGCAGAGTGTGCGCTAACTGGCCAAAAAAAATTAATTTTTGTTTGAAATTACCGTTAATGGGGGAGAATTTGATAATCAAGTTATAACAAAGTCTCGCTTTAGCTTCTATGTTTCTCTTTATTAATTTATCTATTTTTAATTATTTCGTTCTAGTTAGTTTATTCTACTAACACATACAGAAAATTAGGTAGTACAAACTATGCTCATGCATTAACTATAACCTCATCAATGAAGCCCAGTCCAACCTATCACAATTTGACAAAATCATGTGACATGCTTAAATATGGTCATGATCACATCACATCATACCATATATAGGAACATCATGACTATATATGGGCATACAACAGTTTTCTTATCAAAAAAACTGATAACCTGGACAAAGCCTAACACATCAGGAGACACTTCAAAATGTGACAACAGGAAAAATGATGTGGTGTGAGGGGTAGGTTGATAAAACCCTCTTTAACTGGCAAATCAGAAGCCAGTTGAAATCACATACTGTATTTTTAGTTCACATTAAACTACTTTTGGTTATACTTCCTAAAATAAACAGACTCAGTTTAACATTCAACAATTATTTATATTCAAATAAATTTATTAAAAAACAATAAATAAACAAACCACATACAAAACAGTTCATTGCAGCATATAATGAATTGTGTAACTAAATATATAATTACAAAAGTTTTGAATTCTTTGTCGAGTTCATAAAACGATTTAGTCTTCTTTGTAAAAAAAGTAAGTTCAAAGTGGATTAAAACAAGACTATAAAATATATAGTGTATAGTATTCTGTTGTATCAATGTCAATACATATTACATAGACTAAAATGCATAGATGGGACTGATTAGTTGAAGTAAAGTAGAAAGAGTATAACACTAACAGAATAAATAAGAAAAATCCACTTACTCCTTCATAAATTCCAATAAATCTTCTGTAGTTCTACCTCCTGTGTACTTAAATTGTTTTTCACCATTTCTATAATGCAATGTGGTTATTAAACAATCAGAACCAGAATATATCAAAACAATTTTATACAAATCAAATACTGGCAATGGCGTATCTTGGGGATGCATCCCACGATCGCGATCCCCCTTCCAGAAAATGTCCGAAGCTTTAAAATCATGCGCAAATACAATAGTTCACAATTACCTTATATTACCTTATTTTATGACCTAGTTCCCCCTCACTTAATCATCAAACCCCGACTCAATTATCAAGCCCCCAAACTCCACCTTCATGTCCCCAATCAGCCCCAATGCACCTGGATACACCATTGAGTACTGGATAGGGAATTCTTATGTAATGCCACCTACATAAACAAATATAAATTGCTAAATTTTTATATTTTTAACTTAAAAATAACAAGAAAATAATTATCCTTGCCAGTTAACAGTCAATAAATTTCTGGCAGCAAATTCAAATATTTTGTTTATAGTGAATCATTAAAATCTTAGTTTTTTTGATCACTGTCGGATCTCACTTACATATTCTGAGACTGTTGTGGCCCCCGTTTGAAAAATTCTGGATCTGCCCCTGTTCATGTCAATAATTCAGGCTAGTTGAAAATTTTATTATTTTCCTCATTTTTTTTAATTATAAATACATATATACATACATATAAAAACAATAATATTTAACAGAACAGAAAACAAATTTCTAAATCTTCAACAGGTTTCTCTTGAAACCTTGCATCATTAATACATTTTCTAATAACCAATTAATACTGCTCCAATTTACTAAATAAACAAAAATATACTTACTTGAAAAATAGCACTGAAAAAAAGAAACAGAAAAAATATAACTATTTAATTAAATTATTTCACAGTTAAATGTTGTTTTAGAGACAAAATATATGAAGCTAAAATAATAATTGATATATTTTAGATGCATTGATAAAACGATTGCCGACTGACGAATCAATCAATCAATCAACAAATCCATAAACCAAGTTATCATAGTGAAATGCCTAGGCATCTGGATGTCCCCCAGTGGTAGTTGCCAGGTTTTTGGATACTTTCATTTTAAATTTAGAGAAAATGGTGTATAACATGCTTGGTTTATACCAATGACAACCAACTGTGTGAATATATAATAGAGAATGTTATATATAATAAAATAATGAGATAATAATAATAATAATAACAATAATAATAATAATAATAATAATAATAATAATAATAATAATAATAATAATAATAATGAGATATTTTAATGGAATTCAAATTATGATCTAACAATAACTGATATATTGTTAACACTTACGCGATGGGTAACCAGTGACATCATTGTTATCAGCTAAAATCTTTTCTACTACTGCATCCACTGCAGCAAATACTCCATCAATCTATACCAACAAAAATATTAAAAATGTTTTTTTTTTTTACATTTTCACTGCAATTAACAAATATAAAAAGTTGTAACTGCGAGGATCCCTACAATTATTTTCAACTTAGAAAGTTCTCTCCTTAATCTTCATTTTGAAGCACACAGATTCATGGAAAACATGTCGGGAGTACTGGTATTGGTACAGGCATCTTATAATGCGTCTCTTTCTTGTGGTTATAAAGCGCAGTTTTTTCCCCTAGTCATTGGGTCCATATGCTTTTAAGTGTTGCTTCTGGTAATCAGCGCAGTAGCAGGCAATCTCACCAGGGACCCATTTACACTCCTCGGTGGGGAGAAGCAATGCAGATAAAGTGCCTGGCTCAAGGACACAAGCGAAGCACACAGCGAGGGATTGAAACCCCAACCTTGAGATTGGGAAACCAAACCGCTTCCAGATTGTTACAAGACTCTGTGTGTTTAAACTTAAGCTATTTCCACACTATCAAATTCTATGTTACAAGTTTGTTTGTGCTAAGTGCCCATATATGGGCATGATGATGTCACATTACACCCAAATATGGGCATATCACATTTATTTGTCACATAACATTTGATAGTGTGGACATAGCTTTACATAAATGGGCATTCACATGGAAGCAGATTTTGGAGAGGATGAGTGTTAAATTTTGCCAAGCACAGCTTATGTGTGAAATTCCTTAAATCAGGCATTAGAATACAGATATAAATTAAATTTTATTCTCATAAAAAAAAAAACACTGAAATTGCCATCAAAAGTTATTTTGACATATTTAAAAAATCCATATTATCATAAAATTATGAATTATTATAATCAGTACTTGTAATTATTATACCTCAAGTTCCTTTAATTTACTTGCAGCCTCAACAAATGCTGGCTTCATCTTCTTACAATGGCCGCACCCTAGCAAAAAAAAAAAATACAAAAAAGTTCATATTATTAAAAACAGCAGTGTGTATAGATTATTAAATTATTTAGAGTCTGCAAAGCTGCCTAAGAAATGGATTTGAATACTCAGCAAGCCATTAACTCAAGAATTCAACATTATAAAAGATTAAAGAATTAAAAATTAATGAGTTTATAGTAACAATTGATATCTTCCATGTTAAGTTTTTGTTTAAAATTGTCAATAGAAAGTAAAATGTCTTACAAGGAGCATAGAACATAACAAGCACATTCGTGTTTGATGACAAGACTTCATTCATGTTCCCTGCCCCCATCATGACCACATTTTCACCCCCTTCGAGACTTGTCCAAAATGCTTTTTGCGGGGGTGGCTCCGATGTAGGCACGCTATTTGGGTCTATTTGCATATGCATAAAAGCTGTAAAATCCACTTCCTGTAATAATAAAGCAAAAAAGGGATTTAAAGATCAATTTCTTTTTAGGATGTTTTTTAGAGTGGCGTATCTGGGGATTTGGAGGGGGGGGGGGAGATATGGAGAGTGAGTGCACTCCCCAAATAATTCTTGCCCCACCTCCCCCCCTCCAATTGCTTAAGTAGTTAAAAATCACCTCAAGTCACCATATTTTACAAGCCAATGACCCTTATCACCTCCTCCCCTCACCCCCACCCCCCAGTTTTCAGACTTCCAGATACACCACTAGCTTTTCAAACTTTTCAGCCTGCTTTTTTGGGTCTTACTATATCTATGACTAAACAATGTTTTATATATTATTTTCTCAGTAGAAATACATGATATGGGAAAAAAAAAGAAGAAATATACGAATGGTGTTTGTTCTTACTGTTCTTCCGCTCTTATAATCTTGAGTCAACTTTCCATAGTTGAAGAACTTGAGGGTTGGATAGCCAGCAACATCATATTGACTGCATGTATCCTTTGCCTCTGTACAGTCAACCGCAACAAATGAAACCTATTAAAATGAAGTCAATTAGTGCTGGTAAGCAAGTTTAAATTAAAGACAAAGTAAAATAATAACGATGATGATTATGATGATGAAGACAAAAATGATAATTTTAATAATGTCGCGTTATTATATTAGCATTGTTATTTGGATGTGCACTCAGTTTAAGTACAAATAGTATGAATGTTACTCTCAATACTTGTCATGATACCTACTTTGCTCTGATTGGATAATTGCCTCAATTTAAATAAATGCATATTAATTAGGATTTCTGGAAACTTGCACTGTATATAGTTTGTTTCTTTTTATTATGTATTATTCTTGATGCTTTAATAAAATCGAAACATAAAATAAGATAAATAAATGAAATCAATATTAGGAATAATACACAAGAAATGGCAATAATAATATGAAAAATGACAATAAATTTTTCAGTAATGAAAATTATTAATAAAAATTAAAATATCAAACAAAAAACAAGATTAACAGAAATAAAAGAAAACATTAATATTTAATTAATAGCTTACTTTGGAGTTGCTTTCAAAAGTGGCTGCTGATGCCTGGAACTCTGGCTTGGCCTTCTTACAATGACCACACCCTAATCCAAAAAAAAAAAATGAAAAACAATAATGAATATTTGAAAATTTTGCAATAGCAGAAAAATATGAAAAAAATATATTAGAAAGTATAATTAGGTTTATGATCTTTTAAAGATATGAGTCTTGTAGGCAGTGGTAATAAAATCTGTGGATGCTTTAGTACTACAGTGAACTCTCCCAATACTGACCCCACTCTGGACCGGGTACAATGTTCGGTTATCCGGAATGTTTGGTTTGTGGAACATTTCTATAGAACCCTTTCCAAACAAGGCTGTTGTATTGTAGGCCAATGAGGGCCTAGGCCCAGACGCTGAAATAGGCTTGGCAAAGCCCCGTTGTTACGACATGAGTTCGGTATGGCTAGACGACTACGAAAAATTAACATATTATTTAACATATAAGTAGTGTACATGTTGTTTTGCTGTACTGCACAGCAAATTTAATTACTGTACCAATAAAATAAATGCTTTTATATTGTTTTAACATGAATTTTCGATCTGATATTTTTTCTAAACAACATGTTCTTTGTGGTCACAATGCAACTTGTTTGTAGGTTGTAAACATCAGGTCACGCCTCCTAAACTCTGCCCGCTAATTGGTTAACTTTTTTCTTGAGGTCATGGATGGGCAAACATAGCATCATCGTGGCTGTGATGACATCAGATCGCCCAAAGTTTCATAGTGCGTGACAGCTTGCTGACAGGAACAGGCTAAGTTCAAACTGATAAATTTTCAATTTAACCATGGAGGAAACAAGATTTATTAAAACAAATAAGAAACCCTCATGGTTTTGTTTTAGAGTCAAATCTAAATAAATCTAACAAATTTAAATTTCATTCTCTACAAATTTCCTCCGTAATTAGCAAAAGGTGTTTGAGGAAGGAAGGAAGCTAAGCATTTGTAATTTACACTGATTAATCAAATGACATTCAAATCCAAATCATAAACGTCTACTGAAAAAGAGTCAGCTATCGCAGAAACTTGCTTTGATTTCTGTCTTCATTTCAGGTTGATTCCAATCGATTTTTAAGGATTAGGCATAAGGCGATAATGCACTTTATTAAAACAATGGAAGGAGTAACTTTCACTCCATTTAACATTAACATTTAGTCTGGTGTGTCATTTTAATCAATAGACAATCTCTATGGCAACGCCATTGGGACTGCTGTACGAACGGTTTATTCACAGGTTGTTGTGCTAGGCCTAGTTGTTAATTCCTAGACAGCAATGATTATTGCATTATTTTGTCTGGAAATCATCGTTTATTAATATTTTTGTTCGGTTTGTAGAAGTTGATTTTTGTGTTCCGGACCGAATAAAACGTCTGGAATTCAGCATAGGGAGATCCAGTTTTAGGAAAGTAATATTATTAAAGGAAGAATAGGAACGGATTTGGGACATGAAAGAAAGTTCAGTTTAGCTGAAATTCAGTTTTCTGGGCATTTGGAATTCGGAGATTCCACTGAATTATCATTACATAGTTTTTCTTAAGCCATATCTATATTGACCTATTATTTAAACATAGCACACAGGGGTTACCGTGACGAAGCTTGTGTTGGCGCTCTCACTCACCAAAGTGTGTGAATGACCCAATTCATTAAAGGGTTCATTAGCTTGAAAAAGTGCTGAAACAATTGCTATGTAAGCAGCTAATTGGTTTAACAAACAAAAAAATATATAAATTTCTAACTACATTTTATGGAACCTAGATGACAATCATTGAGAATTTCCTTCCACAAAGTATGTAAAAGAGTATAAAACTTACATGGAGCATAGAACATGACGAGTGCATGTTTTTTCTTCTTCATAAATGATTTGAAATTATTGTCACCAAGGTGGTCGACAGCACTCTCCTCTTCAGACCACGCTGGGGCAGGGGGTGGGGGTGGTGGAGGCTGGGCGGGGGGGGGGGGTGGTGGAGGCTCCTGAGGACTAAAAAAAAAAAAAAAGATGAAATTTAATGTTTCAAATTGGTCAGAATAATTGTTAAGAAAATGATTGACATATACATTGACATCAAGAATTGAAATAAAACGACCAAAAAATGTATTGATGAGAATGAAATTTCAAATAATATTTTGAGTCTATTAATATCATTATTTTTACATAGACAATATATAGGGACAACAGCAATTACAATGTGTTTGATCTTATGTTCTTTGCACCAAAAATGAATAATGATTAAACTTATACCGTATATACTCGCATATAAGACGATGCTTAAAATAGCAAATTACCATCGAAAACAGGGGGTTGTCTTAAATGTACGACAGAAATTTTAGATTTTTTAAATCGTGTTCGTCTTGCGCATCGTCCATAACACGCAAATTTACTACTGCAATGAAGCTCCTAAATGTTAGTATGAGTGAACACAATTTTAAATACAGGGAAATAAGATTTCGATGAACACTTAAAAACTCAAATATTGATATTATTTGTAAGATTAGCCTCGTATTTGCCTTTGTTTTTAGCCAGGTAGATGCAGTATCAGGACCACAAAAAGCAGAAAAATGTAGAAATTCCGACCATGAAACAGGGGGGTCGTCTTATAAGCCCAACATACAAATGTGGTCCAAAAATGTCGTCTTATACGTGGGTCGCCTTATACGCGAGTATTTTTGAAAAACAAATTATAATAATAATAAAAGATTAAAATGTCCTACTACTGATTTCTTACTCTTTCATATGTTCAATAAATTTATCTGAAGTCCTCTCATTATAGTCCCAAGCAAACTCCCCATCTCTGAATCTTTGTTTAGGTAGTACACTTTGTTAGGCTTTGCATCTTTTAATTTTTTGTTATGTATTTTTGTTTATGATGGAAAATAAAGATTGATTGATTGAGATAAGGTTGTAAAAGGTGGATTTGCTCAGAAAGTTGTCAGTGGGGGCGCAATATTTCCTCAAGGGCATGTCAACTCTTAAACACACCACTGTAAAAGAAGCCTGGCATGTCTAGAAATCAATATAGGTTATTTATTAAGTTATTTATCAGCTCACCTCTAGCTCTTTTAGTTCTGCTGCAGCGTCTGCATATTCAGGCTTCATCTTCTTACAATGGCCGCACCCTGTTGCCATGGAAAAAAAATACAGACTTTAACAAAACTATAACAAAAACATTAAATGAATACAAACAACAATAATACCTAGGGTTTTCTTTTAAGGGGAAAAAATGTTTTAAAACTTTAGCCATGAGGCCCTTGGCACTGGAAGGGAAGCATTTTACACAAACTGCGGTATATCTTGAAAATATGTCGGTGAAAGAATGTGAGTGCTCCTTCACTCAAGGAGTTAAAAAAAAAAATCAAAATACTCAAACTCGGACTGTGATACTCACAGGGAGCATAAAACATGACCATAACTGAACTATGGGTTGCCAGGTAATCATCAAAGGTGTCGTCCAATAGATGCACAACATCCGTCTCTTCTTCGCTCCATTCTTGCTCCTTCTCAGGTTCCTTGGGAGGCTGTGGACTAAGTCAATAAAGATATATTAAGGTAGATTTCTGGGCCATCTTTGGGAAGGTACAAGTTGATTGGTAACAATTACACCAATTTAGAAATATGCATACTATCAGACATGCTAATGAGTTACGGAAGCCAGATCATAAAATTTTATCATTCTGTTAAAATAATAGACATATTTTTTTGTCAACATATTATTACTGTGTCATTGGATTATTTTTAAGTTTCAACTTTTATATTGTTGCAATTATTGTAATGAACTTACTCTGCCATCCATGTTATTATTCCTTCTTTGTTTCGTTCTCCGCCATAATCCAATTTCCGCTTTCCATTTCTAGATTAATAAGACACAACGTGGTTAAAAAAGACTACACATACTGGCTCTATTAGAAAGTTGGCATGATTATTAACATACTTATTTTGGACCTCTATTTTTATAAAGTACCACAGTCGTACCATCACAACGCCAGGTGGCGCTCTCTGTTGTCAAAAGACATTGATTATCGTTCATCATGCCTGAATGACTTCATAGGCTTTCTGGAAGGCGTTTTAAAATCTAATATTTTACCATCAAAATGTACTAAAAACACAAAAGCTCACATTACATTAGTTATCAAACACACATTTAATCATCAATTAAAATTTACAAAGAAAAAGTAAGATACAACATCTTAATAATTACGTTACAAATTGGGATAATGGTTTATCAGTGGAGAAAATGGCGTCTGGTTGAACGCTTTTTGCAATGATAGCAACGGAGTAGGATCACACGGTATCGTGACGTAACACTGTAGTAATCTATATGGGTGATTTATAAAGTACAATTTACTGACAAAACCAAATGAAACTTTCAATCAATAGAATGCATAAACTTCGCCCTGTGCCTGAATACTGAACAATATACAGGCCTAAAAATTTAAACGTACATATATTAGGTAGGCTACTAACTTTCAGTTATGAGAACGAATAAAGAATTATTATTATTAGGCCCATAAAAAAAATTATTAATTTATCACCCTATCAAAGAATAAAAACTGATGAGGGAGGGAGGTTTTTTTTATTTTTACCAACCTCATCCACATTTTACCAATGTTCACAAGTAAATCAATGGTTAAATCATAATAATGAAATTAAATTTATATTCAAAAAATATGTTTTTGTTGTACCGGTAAACACATATGCAAGAAATCCTAAGCTTTTCAGGTAAAAAAAGATGGAAAAACGACCGCTTAAAATAAAAATATATGTTGATTGAAAAAAAAAAATTAAAAAAATTATTATTATTATTATTATTATTATTACAGTACCACCTATTAGCTTTCAATAAAAATTATAAATGGGCAAAGGATTATTTCCTCCTCACATGTATAAATCATAGCGTTAAGTACGATTTTGTCAGTGTGCAGGTGTTTATTTAATGATTAATGATCAAGCTCATTACACATTAATCAACAGTAACCACACTTACTCAAAATAAATAATAGTTGGAAAGCCAGTGATGTTAAATGAGGTTCTCGTCTCATAATTCTCTGGTCTGTCGACATCCATTCCAGCTAAAATCTATTTAATAAAAATAAAATATTTTAAGAAGCAGTCATGAAAAAACAAATGTCAGTGAATCGAGTACTGAGTTTAAGTTTGATTCAGGCAAAAAAAATTTGCAGCGTTTCAATTCTGAATTACTAGTGCTTCTAACTTACAGTAATATCAGCATTTAAGATTCAACGTTCGTTTGTTCGTTCATATTAATCAATAATCAGAAGAGATACACAGGTGTTAATGTAGCTTCCTTTAGTGAATAATCTGTCTCTTATACACATCTAGATGTGTATAAGAGAGTGTGAATAGTGCTTCATTGCACTTATTTTCCTAGTACCTCATGAATTTGTTGCAGACACTATTTAAAAATCATAATTAACAATATAGAGTAATGAAATATATAGCGATACGTACCGCTTCTCCTAATAATTCGGTAGCAGCACCAGCAAATTCTGGCTTCATCTTTTTACAATGGCCACACCCTGAAAAGGAAATGGTTCTCAAACACTTGTTACCATGTCACTTTGTAACATCACCTTTGCTAGTCTGCGAATGCACTGAATTAAAAGTTTCAATTCAATATCTTTTTGTTACCTAGCAGAAACATTTATACAATCCAGTCAATAAATACAACACACAAGTAATAAATAAACACAATGAGAACTGATTCAGGAGGTGCAAAAGCAGTCGAAAAACTCAAGCCATGTTCAAAACTATCAAATTATCTGACAAAAACATGTGACATGCCTGAATATGGTCATGATGACATCAAATCATGACCATATATAGGCACATCATGATTATATCATGAATATATATTGTCAAATGACTTATATTATTTTATTGTCAAATATCATGTTGTGATCATGACAAAAAAGCTTGTTTTATCTTATCTCTTTCATGGAAACACAAAATATAACAGTTTCCAACACAGCTGAACAAACATTATGTACGTAATTTTGAATTTGTAATTAATGCACAGTAAGCAGAGCCACAGGGGTAAACCTAACATATAACATTTACATTTTAAATATTCCCTATGAGAGCAGCCGAAGTGGAGGTATTGATTTTGAAAAAAATGTTAATAATGACATGATATTGACTTTGATTTACTAAATTAGTTACAATAAGCAAATTCATGAATTATTTGCAAGCCAATTATTTTCAGTAAAGCAAAAAAAAAAAAACCATCAGAACAATAAATTATAGAATATGAAATAAATAATAATTTCACTAAAATTTATTAATAATAAAAAATAATATATCTACTCACATGGTGTATAAAACATAATCAAAGTTGGTTTCTTTTCCTTTGCTAAAAGTTTATTTAATTGCTGTAATAAAAGATAAAATTATATAGATTGCTGGTGAAATAATTTCAACTGCATTTTGAAGGGTGACGCAATGTATTTCAAATTCAGAACGTTGAATACAAACATACACGAGGGTGGGATAGGGTTAACAACCAAAAATCATTGTATGATGTTGTTGTGCAGTGGAGTTGAATAACTTGGGGGTTAAGATGCTTGCATTCCAATCTTAGGGTCCTGGAATTGATTCCTGTCAGGGGATCAGGATCTTTTTCTCCCGACCAAAACAGCGCCACTCCCAAATGAGACTTATTGTTCTTTTTGTTTTCTTGTGAAGTCATATGCCACTTACATAGAAAACAGAGCACTTTGGTGCCAGATTTCACTTTTAAGTTGTGTTACATGAGTCGGTCCACAAAAAAGATTGTGGTGAATTGATCTATATAAAAATGGAGGCAATCACAACAAAAACGTAAGAGGAGGATGGAATTGAACCGGGGAGCAAATTATTATTATTTTTTTTCTCTATAGTTCAGTGCACAAACAGGAAGAACTACAAGTTTAACCAACAGGGCTAAGCTATGCCAACCCTCTGCAACTTCATGATGGATATATAATTATTAGATTATTATATTATAACACAACAATCAATTTTTTTCCCCCAAAGTAATAACAAAAACTATAGAAAGGAAAAAAAACTAAGTTCAACAAAAAGAAATTATTTTTAAATTATTGTGTTATTTATATACTGCATATTTCAAAACACTGCCTTCATTGCTTCAAACATTATTATTAAGATGAATTCAACTAGAGATTCAATGAATAAGAAAAGAGAACTAGCTAATAATTAATTAGTTTATTTCATTATTAATTGAAATGTGAATAAAAAGTGACTGGAAGTTAGCGATCTAGAAATGAATGATGGGATAAGTAAATAAATGAAGAGAATGAATCGATAACTGCATTTATGTAGCAGAAAACAAAATGCGAACAAAAGATCCTCCAAGGAAGAGAGAGACAAACACAGATAAAGGGACTTGCCCTAAGACACAAGCAGCCTATATTGGTTAGCATGATTCGAACCATAACCTTGAAAAGCTCAACCACGGTACCAACCACTTTTCACGTACCTTAGTACTATCCAGATGCATAACGTCAGCAGCATTTTCGTCTTCGTCCCATGGTGCGTCTCCTGTTGGGTCTCTCATAAAGTTTACTAAAGACTATAAGGAAGAAATAAGAAACTGCAAAAGTTAAGCTTGTTTCCTTATAGGATGCTCAAACATAATTTTGAACGTTTTCGGGTTTTTGCATTTTATAAAAGAAGATATATTGATGAACATTTCTGCAAAACATCAATCACTACATCTAACTGAAAAGTACGTTAAAATAAATTTTAAGATATAAATCCTACTGTTGATTTAGGAATCTCTGGAAGCAGTTTTCTAAAAAAACCTACATGGCTGATATACAATGATATTGATAACTTTGCTAATACTCAACCAATTTTGATCAAACAAACACTGATTTTAAGAAGAATTCATGCAGAATCTAAAACCACCAAAATCTTGATTTTTAATTTTCCCTGCAAACGGCTGGAGCCAGTCACGTATAATAAATTTTTTAAGAACAAGTTATTACAGCTTTTAATTAAAAATTTAAACATAATTCTTGCCATTAAACAATTTTGCGTAACTGCTCCATAGAAACTTTGGGGTGAAAAAAAGTAAAAAAACTTTAAAGAAATCCAATCAAACCCCTTTACAAGGACCAAGCATGATATTAACTTTCAGCAAGATTGAAAGCAGCCCAAAAAGAAAATGTTGTGCCTCCGATTATGTTTATAAAATGGCTAAATGTTTTCTGTACACAATATAGCACAACAGTGGTTGTTTGAAAAAAAAAAGTGATTTCGCCAAAAATACCTCTAAACTGGGGAAATGCGCTATCGCACACATTTTCCAGCCCCGATTAAAACAATTCAAATTCACTGATTCATGAATGTTTTACTACAAAAACCAACAAATTGATAACTAGAAAATTTTACACTATAAGCCTATACACTTGATCAAACTCACCTTAAAGACTTCTTTTCTGTCATAATCTCTATTATATTCTCCATCTCTGAAAATAGTTATCAGTCAATCAGTTAAATTGGAAATATTAAATTAAAAGAAACAAAAAATATCAATGACATCATAACAAAAAAACATACCATTACAATATAAAAAATACATCTGGCCTTCTATATTTTTTTTTAAAGAATTTTATTTTAAAAAGGCATAAAAAGTGTGCTCATAGTAACTACTATTAAAAACAGGTAAATATTTTAATCTAGTTTCTTATTCTTAATATAAATCACTGAAACTTTGTTTAAATTAACCATAGATAGAGGTATACTTCTGTTCTTATAAATTCTATATTCTGTATTTCATACAACATGGCTTGAGTTTAAGTAGTGAATTCTATTTCCCGAGGTGTTGGATGATTAAAGAATACCTCCTGAGTTGAAGCAGAGGAAGGTATTCCCAATCATCCAACAACGAGCGATGTAGAATTCATTGCTTTACTGAAATAAATCCATGTTGTACTTGCTTTACTATTATTAAATATATATTCTATGTTACTGCTTACAAGTAGGCAATTGTGCGATAGTCCTATGGAAGTAGTAAAAATTACCGCACCTCTTTACCAGGTGGATTTGACCAATGAAATGCTGTTATCACCCAATTAATATTTATGAGTTATAGTAATTGCAACTATTAAATAATCTACAGTAGCACACTACATTGAGCACTTATGTTTATAAAAAAAAAATCAATATCAGTAAAAATATGTGATATTAAATATGATTAAAAAAAAGAGTAAAATGAACAGTAAAAGAATATAGATATTCCTGATGTTGACATTAATGTCCAAATACTGAATCCCGACATGATGGTGTGCATTTTGAATAAAGATATCATTTTCAAGTAAATTCATCTTGATTTAAACATCGATTGAGTTTTTTTTAGTTTTGTTGATGTATGAACCTGTTATTTTGCTATAAATAAAGATACTAATATTTTTGAAAATGACAAAATAGATCAACAAACGTTAAATTCTAAAAATGCGTGTCTGTTTCAGTGTTCCTGTCTTTATTTGCTTCAAAATATGTTACATTAATAATTAAATAGTGCACTATACTAACATGCAGGAGTCAATATTTTTTTCAATATGTTAAACATGAACTTACTTATAATGTTTTAGGACATAGGAGCTTGGGGATACCTTGAATTTTTTGCAAAGTTTCTTGGCTTCTCTAAAAAATACAAGAATCATGAATGTCCATTATTATAGCAAATTAAAATTCAACATTAACAAATAACATAAGGTTAACAATAAAAATAACTAGAATATAATAATAATAATTACAACAATAATAATAATAATATTGAAAATGTATAAAGTGCTTACTACAGTACTAAATAACACATGTAATTGTATTTTCTATTTTTTATTATAAGCCGTGATCGCAGTGGACTTTTTTAGTTAAAACAAACCGAGACACTGGTTATTTTGCCATAATTAGTTCAGTGCAAACAGCCCAAGAGAGAAGCAGTTAGCTTAATGGAGTGGATTGTGCTGGCAAAACTGACCAGGTTAGTTTTACCAGGGCAAAAAGTCCCACGCAAACACATATCGGTTAAACTTCCTGAGTCATTTTTAAAAGCATTACTCAATGGATGATGTCGTAGATTAGTGCCGCAAGAGTTGATTTTCACGTCTCGGTTAGTTTTAACATTTATCGCAGTAAAACTAACCGACTCAAAAAATCCAAGTGCGAATAGCAATAATTGGAATTCTACCCATGGTCTCGCAAACATCTACCCCTTTTTAAGTCAAGTGCAATTGTGGCCTACGTCAGAAAAAGGAATTGGTTTAACAGTTTCATCCAAGTCAATCCAATTGATTAAAAATATATCCTTACCCACAGTCCACAAAGGCCATGGTTCCAAGACCTTTCATCTCTAACGCTACATCACTATACACATTAATGATGCCATTAGCAGCTTTCGCTGATGAGAAGAAAAAGATAATGTTACATAAATAAACAAAGTTTACCCTCTTTTAAATAAATTACAAAACAGAACTATGAAGAAGTGAATTAAAAGGTAGTTGAGATTTGAACAGTTTCAAAATTATTTTGATGTTTAGTAATTGTAAAAAAAATATTTAAAGAAATATATTTAATGTCAACTTCCTTCTACCTAACTGCTAATTGCTCATGTGTTTTTGTTGCGGCCAATGAGCTTAGTTGTATTTTATTTGAGTTTAATTGTTAATGTTATGTTGAGTTTTGTTTAAAGAACTATGAAGAACTATGAAGAAGTGAATTCAAAGGTAGTTGAGATATGAACAGTTTCAAAATTGCCTTATCGAAAGCAAACAGTAAAGTTGATGTTAGTAATTGTGTAAAAAATATTTAAAGAAATTTATTTAATGCCAACTTCCTTCTACCTAATTTTTTTTTAGTTTAATTGTTAATGTTATGTTGTGTTTTGTTTGGAAATAAATCAAGAGTGTAATTTATCATAATTTAGTACTCTATATTCATTTTATATCTTCATATTTTCAGATAGGCCACATAGATAATCATTGCCTATGAGGTTTTGTTTTTACTTCTGCATAATTCCCATAATTTACGCTTGCAAAAGTAGTAAAATGCAAAGTTCAAGCTAGCCACGAAAAAAAAAAATATAGCAATTTGGCTATTAATTGGTATGAAAATAATTAGCCAAATACTAATTTGATAATCCAAAATAAAAGAATATTAAGCAGTGATAGTTTCGGCTAATTTTGGATAAAAATATTTAGCAAAATTCAGCTTTTATTAGCATTTGGCTATATAAAAGCATAAACAAAAACAGTAAAGTTGAGTGATGAGAAATATGTTATGCAATATGGTCTTATATGAACTTACCTGTTTTAGTATACAAAACCATTACATTTTTTCTTGTGCGTAGTAGCTTCTTAAATTCTTTAATATCATCAACATCAATAACATGTTGCCTATTGTTGACTTTCTTCCCTCCATGGCATAAAACTACCTGCATCACAAATGTATACAAAATTTTGATCATAAAATGAAACAATTACAATTTACTATGTTGATATTCTATTGCTAACATGTTTAAAATTTGAAACACAAACCAGATAATACAGTACTAAAATTATATTGATTGAATTCTGTTGTACTGTAAATACTACAAAAGAGTGTACAGTATGAGCTCATTCAACAGCCAATCATGCTTAGATTAAGGATTATTTCTTTACCTTTTTTTTTTTGGTGGGGGGGGGGGGGGCAGAGAGGGCTTGATGGGAGTTTGCATTCTTGGCCGAGTCTACAACTGTTACCTGTTCTATTATTAGTACAACGCATACCATACGTAAGAATAATACAGAAATAATAATAATAATAATAATAATATGAATAATAATAATTAATACAGTAATAATAACAACAACAATAATAACAATAATAATAATATTAATAATAATAATAATAATAAAAATTTTTTTGTTAGTATTTTGTAGGACTTTATGCCTACAAGGCTATTTATTATAAAAAAAATATAAACAAATGTTGTATTGCCAGAATCAAAGAACCACATAATTTCTTTCTTCTAATGAGACAGTACTTTCTTTGGCGGCACTCTCCATTATATTTCCTTTACGGAAATTACATACTGTTTGATGTTGACATTAGCTACACAGTAGCAGCTTCACACAAAGTGCTCCCCTAATGAGTTGCTGATGTACTATTAGCTTGTCACGCAAGAGTTAGTTCAGCTGATGTACTATCTTGTCATGGATGATTGAATTTAGTTACTTTGAACAGCTAATCCCCTTGTGAGGTACTGTACTGCTGCCATCATCAACATTGCCTTGTTTGTCTCCCCACAGGGTCGGTTCATTCGTTCATTATTCTCATTCAGCAAATCTCCTCTCCTCTCTGAACTCTGCTCAATAACAACATCATTAAACTGGTGGTACACCACATGTAAAAATATGGTTTTACAGGTAAAACCACTGGTTGGTTGTCTCAACGTTTCGGCGAGATTGCTCTGACTGTGATCAGGAGAATGACCAAAGATGACTTCCGCTCAAATTCAAATGCTCTACTAGCATCATTGAATGGATTTTTTTTATCGAGCAAACAACAATTTCTTCATTTGGAGATCAATAAAATTATTCTGATTCTGGTCTCAGACACAATTTCATCCATCAATTTTTAGGTCATCATACTTAAATTTTTGGTGCACACAATCAACTAAAATGTACTTTGCTTGTTTCTCACGCCTGTACTCTAACTACAGGGATGCAGAGCGGGGGTACTGTACCTGGGGTGCCAATCTAAGAGATGCAGGGGGAGGAAGGTGTTGACAAAATATAGACAAAACATTTTAAAAAGCTTCCACCTGTGAGATTTGAAGAAGCTTTTATTCAAATCAATAATAAAATAAATTATAGCATACAATGTAGTCGAGATATACAAGCTCAGAATAAGAGACATCATCTGAGCTGGAAAATTACGCCATTTCCATTCAAAACAAACCTTGTACAGTACAGTACAGTATGAATTGCCCGTTCTCAAGATATACATGATGGCCATTCTCCAATAAGGGTGGCAGCATCACACTCTTTACTGCAATGTTTTGTGTGTTTTCGGATGTACAATAAATTACAGTACAACATGGAATCAAATAAGCTAAAATATTGATTGATTCTCAAAGGTTTCATTTTCAATCAATCCATCCAAATGATCAAGTCAGAGGTGACAATGGTAGCAGTGCAACATCTGTAATATGTTATTTACTTATTGTTATTTATTTAGGAATTGCCAATTGGCAAATTTAAGACTGTTCTACTGATATACAGTAGTAGGTGGGAATAACTATCACAAACCAGGAGGGTCCCAAGTTGGAAGAAGCACTTCCGGGAAATCTGGTAAAGTGAGTTTTACTCAACACATCTATCTATTTTCCGCTTTGGTAATAGCCACCACCAGCTGACTTCTAGGAAAATTAAAAATATGTAAATTATAAGGATTTAGCATTATGGGTTTGTTTTGGAAAAGTCATTGCTTTCTTGTGGGAGACCATCTCGATTTCCGCTAGACTGCTGTGACTTGGGGGAGAGTAGGGACGTACCCCTGAATAAACTGTCTCATTTTTATATGAAGCTCATTGTTTTAGATGTTTGTAAGTTCAAATAAAATCCCAGTGTGACAATGACATAAAATTGGTTAAGTTACAAGGCATACCATAACTACAGTATAATAAAATAAGTAACTATTGCATTTTTCTATTTGGCAAATCTTTCATGATTCAAATTTTCCCTTTGAGACTTACGATACATGTACGCACGTACTGTAAAGGCATTCTAGTGACTACATGTTATTTTGGATGGTCAATGTTTATCTCACTTCCAGGCTTTCCAGGCTAGTTCCTCAAACTCATGAACATGGTGCAGATATACAGCCTCATGAGGCAAAAAAACCTAAAGCATCTGTCGTTTATGCTAGTCAATACAATATTCAATAAGGATAAGATAGGAAATGAACTACGACCTTAACAATGTGAGACATGTTAGAATAAGATTATAGGTTGCCAATCTCACAATAATAATTATGCAACGATAAAATTTGGCAGTCTGAAATGGAGACACTTTCACATTAACTTTTGTAATGGAGGTGAAAACTTTGAATATCAAACTTTTCAACATGTTAAACTAGAAATATTTTGGCCTTATTAACTTTATAACTTTGATTAATTATGTTTTGTTCATGATTTCATCATGAAATAATGTGGATTCACTCCCAGCAACTCTCGTGAACTCTTTATCTTTCAATCAATCATTTAATGTCAGTCAATCAATCAATCAATCAATCAATCAATCAATCAGTCAATCAACAAGTCAACCAAACAACCATTTAGGCCTAGTTCAGACTAGGTGGATAAACCCAGCTCAACTCAAAGGGTTTATTCACCTGCCAGTCTGAACTAGGTTACTTATCTCAAGCTGGGCTGTTCCTATAGTAACTAAACCAGACTTGGCACCGTGTTTAACTTTTCTAAGCAGGGCTTTAATCGCTGGGGGGGGGGGGGTCTTGCGTTGGCCTCATGTAAAAAAACAACCAATCAGCATTCAATTACATGTGCTTTGAACGAGTGTACATTTAATGTGCAATGCTTCGAAGCTCGTTTCCTGGTTACAATTCATGAATGCAAATTCACGCTCCTGGCTAATCCCGCTAGTCTGAACGCCGGGCAAAGTTAAGCCAGGCTTAATGTTGAGCTGGGCTTAACGTAACCCTGGCTTGCCTCCAAGTCTGAATGTAGCCTTAATCAGCAAATTAATCAATCAATCAACTAACTATCAATCAATTAATCAGTCAATCAATCAATCTATCAATCAATTAATCAGTCAATCAAACAACCATTCAGTCAGTAAATCAATCATCAATTAATCAATCTTGCGTGCTACAGTAGATAAATGACAAAAAAAAATCTTGTTTAAAAAAAACTGTTAGGATTCGAATACTTTTGAAATGTTTAGGACTACAGTACCTATTTATCATAGTTCTACAGATACTGTAAAATTTTAAGAGATATTTGTCATGAGTAAGGAAATAAATAATAATAATTTAATATCCAAACATGATGTTAATGTTACTGCACCAAATGATCTGTACATTCCTCTGTATTAGTTGTGAAAAAAAAAATTGTTGGGAATCGAACCAACCACCTCCAGAAAACCAGTCTGGTCACACAGCCCCAAGCTTTTGTTAGTGGCCGAGTTTGAAATTCTATCCTGAAAATCAATATTCTTCACAAATTTGCAGATGTAACTGATCATTTAGTGCAATAATTAACACATGTTTGGTTTGGTAAAACATCACACTAAAATAAACATTGATATATGCAAATAAGGAAAATTGTAAAATAAAAAAATTAATGACCAATTTTTTAGGAAAAGAATGTGAAAGAAAAAAAGATGAAGGAGCAACTTTAATGAAAGAAAAAGATGAGGAAAAGCCACCTACTGGACTGCTCATTCCATTTACAATATTATATTACTTACAAATTTACGTTCTGCTAATAATAAGCGGCAATGCTAAGTGCTAGCTTAAAATCAATAGACTCATATAAAAAATTAGATCATTCCAGCTGGTAGACCTAACAATTTGATTAGCCACACGGAAACCAACAAAAAGAAGCAACAACCCATAATAATGAGCAAGCATTAAAAAAGAAATTATGAAATGACAGTCTACTTTCAATTTCATCGATTTAGTAGTCTAGATGTACATCTAAGCATAAAATGAGCTTATTTCAGGATATTAACAATATGATACCTACTGTACAGTACATATTTCCACAGAAATACACAAGAACATATACAGAATTTATAAGGGCCTACTGACTATACACTAAACTATTAGTATTCAGCAACATCATTTTCAACACATTCCACTAATGTTGTGTGTCAGTAGATTTATATTTTATAACCTGGTGCGATCAAATGATCAGGCATACATTTTGATGGTACAGTAAATGTGTTGCAGTCCTACTGTGCATTGACAGTGAAATTATAAGAGCTTGAATAAACACTCTTTCTGGGTGAAGAGAGGCAAATGCAGATTAAGTGTCTTGCCAAATACACTACATCATTCTGGTCTTTTTCATCGATACTATTTTTTTCTGTAAAATTTACAGATAATCTAATAATATGTTTCCTAATGGTTTTTTTTTTCTGTAAATGAGATCTACAGTAATTATTATTATTTACAGGTTAATTTAATATTTTTCTTTAATAACTTTTTTTGTTTATTTTTTTATGAACTAAAGATGACCTTTCTACAAATACAGTACAGTACTGTATAATGTATCCGTATTGAAATAGTTTGTAATTTTTTTTTTTTTTTTTTTTTTTTTTATGTAGTGTCCATGCTATTGACAGTCAAATATTTCTTTTGACAACATTTGGCTATTTTTTCCGTATCATCCATAGGCCCCTCTATTTCTATAATGAGATTTTTTTTCAGTGGCCTATGATTTATTTAAAAGGCCTCTACTTCAGTCAAGTCGGTATCGTTGTTATTAAGATATTAAAAATGGAAAGACCTTTCTACAAGACTAATTTATTTATTTATTTCAACAATATTTTACGAGGGTGGTCCATCCAGCCGGAGCTGATCATTAGGACCCTCAATACATAACACAAGTAACAAAGGAAATATAAATAGAAAAACAAAAAAATTAAAATGAAAAAAAAAATAAATAAATAAAAGAAATAAAGCAATGTTTAGCCTAGCCTCTATGCATAGGGCTAGGCCTAGTAACTGTATATACAGGCTAATAAAAGCAGAAATAAAAAAATAAATTAAAAATAGGAGGATGGAAAATGATTTAAGAAATAATATTTAAAAACAGTTATTTCAGTCATTTAATTCCTAAAAAATAGGCGAAAATCAAAATGTCATTTTACGTCTAACAATTTAAAAACATATGAAGAAGCCCGCTAGGCAGTCCAGACTAGCCCTAGTCTAGCTCTCTTTACTTTATGATTTGCTGGATAAAAAGTATCAGGCCTAGGCCTAACTAAAGCTCGGTCTAATCTGTAGGCCTAGCCTAGCCTAGTTAGGGCTAGGCAAGGGAGAAACGGTTGCTGCTTCACTTCATATGCCCGATAAGGTGACATTTCAATTTGTAAACAATAAAACCGGCTTGGAAATAATTACGAGATTCAAGCGAAAATCAAAATGACTGTTATAGTAGTACCAATATTGTGAGGTATTTAATTTCATAATTATTTCTAATAATAAGTTGTCAGACTGTTCTTTTCTTTTTACTTACAAGAGCCAGAAGGTAGAGCAGGGTCCATGCGTGTCCTCCCATCATTGCCACGTTTATTAACCGCTGTGCTGTGCTCGATCTTCAGCTTCGTGTTCCCTTGGCTGGAAATATGACCTTTCCCAGGCTTATGAAATGAATATTCATAAGCCGGGAAATAGCTATGAAACGCCGTGCATGCACTCTGAACATAGTAATCGGTTGAGATTGTCTGATTTAATACGTTAAAAAATAATTAAAAGAAATGAAATGCTATATGTCCAAAAGAAACATACAGTGGAAAAAAAATCACTGTAAAAATATTAGAGGTGTACGGTAGCTCAAAGGGTTCCTCGTAAATTCCCACCCAACCGTATTCGTACGTGCTTGTGGTGCCAGAACTGCCCGACGGTGTGGTCCGAGGTTCCCGAATGGGGGAGGGGGAAGTGTCCTCGATGAAAAAAAGGAGGCGTAGTCGGGCGTTGCGCAAAATCTGTCGAAAGTGTTCCAGAGGGCGAAGCCCCCGAAAAATATGACAATTTAGAGGTTTCACTAAGGCTTATTTAATCGATTTTGGAGCCTGTCTAGGCCTACTAATGTAGAAAATACATATACATTTTTTTTCTCCCCAACGAAAAGCTTTAAACTAAACTCATGCGCTTGTTTTTGTATTGCCTATGTACATTTCAATTTTTAACAATATTTAATATACGTAATTTAGATGATTTTTTAAATCAGTACTTAAATATAAAACAACAATTAAATATTTATAAAATTGTGGTGGTTGAGCAAATAAGTAAAATTAAAATTGTACCAGTAGTATGTTACTTGAAACTCCATGGTATTCATTTATTTGCCTATTTTTAAATATAATGATAGAATATTTCATCGTGTATTCGTAACACATATTTTATTTTGCATAGGCCTTTTGTTTATATTTCACGATAGCCTGCACACTGTGCAAGTATTCGTTGTACAATATATAATGTATTAAATAATGCACAGCGTATTGTACACCTGTGTATTCATAACACAGTGCTTTATTTAATTAGGCCTACATCATTTTATACGTTATGTATTTCACAATAGCAGCAGTCAACTCGTATAAATAAAAAAGGAGTCATTATTATTATTATTATTATTCATATTGTATTCATATAATGTGTTTGTGTTTCTTGTACTTTATCTATTAATGGCGGTATAAACAACTCAATTCATTTATTGTCATAATAGTATAAAAAATCGTGACCCTTGCTTGAACTAACCCATCGGAGGTGCACATCTTAGCTGACATAGTCAATTTGCATGCGGAAGGGCCCCCGACTGTAACCTACTTTTGAACCATGGCCCCATACAACCTTACGCCATTGAGTTCTTGGGGTACGCGCTCATTAGTCAAAGTAATTTAATAGTAGCCTACACTGGAATACAAGATTTAGAGTTTTATCAGTGGTTCACAAAGCGTTTTGCATTCGCGGACCCATGTATTCACGGACCGTAGTGATCCACTCCAGGACATCTCCCTGGTTACCGGTACTCATTGACGATATTCCAACAATAAAGTACTAAACAGTGGAGGATCCTGGAATTCGAAATCATTTTTAGAGTCTATGGCACTTGTGATGGCCGGAAATGGCACTGTAGATAGACTCAAAATTCGAATGTAATTTTCTTTTTTCCCCAATGAATTTTAAGCAGTAAATGCAGGTGGACTCTTGGTCGATAGTAAGCCAACAAGATTATAGATAAAATAACAATGGCGGATCCTAAAATTCAAAATAGAGGGCAGAGGTGTGTCAGAAAGTTAATTTTACAGACATACGACCACCCCCATGGTACAAACATTTATATTGTCTATATAGCACTTTTAGATGGCCAGAAATGGACTGTCAGACATAAAATTTGAATGTAATTTTCTGTCGTCTTTTCATTAATTTAATTTTTTTTAAATTTAGGACCCCTCCTGATTTTGTTAATTTATTCAATATCAAGGTAGAAGCAATACAAAACGAAATAAAGACACAAGATGTTCATTACCTGAGGATTGCCGGCCACTCGAGTGGCTCTGCTATACTAATGATCTTTACATAAAGTACATAAAAAATATAAAGGATTCAGATCAGTTAAAAATGTTTGCATGTGCCCATATCAAAGATATTTCATTATTGATAAGGCATAATGATTACCAGTAAAATGTTTATCTCACTGTTTATAAGACAATAAAAATAATGGAATAATGAAAAATTGCTAAAAATCTTCTAGCTTAACCCTTATACATTTTTCGTGGTTGGACCCGGACCCACAGATTTTTTTGCTGACCCCCCTCACCCTTTTGACATGGCGGACCCATTTTCCGAAGACAGGTTAACACTGTACATAATTTTACGCGTTACACTTTGGCTTAGAATGTATGTTTTTAAATTTTACTCCGATTTTTTATTTTTTTTTCATTTCAAACCTTTACTTTTTAAAAATAGACTCAAAGGCTATTTCTCAGATTATATTGAATATTAACCTTTCTACATTCTGTTATGGATCAAATAGATCTCCATACTATTAAAGTTCATTCAAATCAAGGCCCTAAGGACCGTGTCCAATAGATGAATGAATGCCTGTATTTTGACTATAATAAATTATTATTTCCGTGAAATCACCTGTCCCATAGGCATAATTGTACACAAAAACATATTGTTTAAATGAACTTTCTGAATGTTCATTGAAATTCTTTTGTACATACTTAGTATGTTTTTATATCCTACACATATTGGAATTGTTGTATCCAATCTGTTATACGATCACAATAAAGAAAATTATGAATTTATTGAGACGTGTCGCACCATTGAGGTTTGTCCAGTCCAGTCATCCAGTCACAACATGAGTCACTACACTACGGTTTGCCATTTTAGCGTTCCATATTATGTTGTGACCTTTATTCGTTTCGATTGTCAGGAGGCTAGCCCCAGAGATTCGTCGAGCCCATAGATCAGTGGCCGAACCCGAACCCGAAGAGCGTGTGTTGTGGATTGGTGAGACGTTCTAGAAATTAGGCTAGGCCTGGTCTTTGAGCGTAATTGCTCTTCTACCCTCAGCATCCATTTAAAGAATCACAATGGGACATGTTACAGCTGACTGGAACCCGATGGGGGAAGTTTACTTCAGGTACCTTTTACAAAAATTGTTTTAAATTAGGCCTGGCCTAGGGTTAGGCTAGGCCTGGCCCTAGACCGCCTAGCCTAGCCCTAGCCTAGGCCCTATGCCTCCTCTAGGGAGACTAGATAGGGGCCTAGTTTAGGCTGGTTAGGCCTAGCCTAGGCTTAGTCTGGATAGAGGGGCCTAGGCCCTAGGACCCTGCTCACTCACAGGCGGCAAAGCCTTGTGTTATATTAGTAGTACTTTTGTATAGGCCTAGGCTAGGCCTAGGTGTAATTTTTGCCCTTCCTGATGTGGAAATGTACAGAATACTCAGTACATTTGAAAAAATCGCAAGTTGTTCTCGGGTGGGACTGGAACCCACGATCTCCAGATCACTAGCCTGGCATCATACCTCTAGACCACAGAGCTTGCGCCTGAAGGCCAGGGTTGAATTCGAGTCCAAGTAAGCAGCGGGTACTGAAGTGTTGATAGTAATTGTTATTGTCGTGATGGATTAATAGACAATAACTGGATTTGCGTCAGGAGAAACATGTATAGGTGTAATTTTTGCCCTACCTGATGTGGAAATGTACCGAATACTCAGTACATTTGAAAACAACTGCGAAAAAGATCGCAAGTAGTTCTCAGGTGGGACTCGAACCCACGATCTCCAGATCACTAGCCTGGCATCTAGACCACCGAGCTTGCGCCTGAAGGCCAGGGTTGAATTCGAGTCCAAGTAAGCAGCGGGTACTGCAGTGTCTTGTATTTCTAGTATCTTTGATGCATATCAATACTTTCAGCGAACCAGAATCCACGATGGTTTTACCGGCGAAAATAGGCTGCGCTTATCATCATCGATGCATCATCCAAATTCAAAATGTCGGACAGTGATGTTTCAAGCTATAGAATTTTATTTTTCAAAAAATGTTAGTATATATTACCCCATTTTTAAGATTTAATTTGAGCACTAGAGATCTGCTCAGAGTGCACCAGAAAGCATCTAGGCCTAAAAATTTCCGGGGCCCTAGGCGGGCCATCGACCCACGCCTAAATTGTTTCGTTCCTGTGCAAATCTCCATCCACAGCCAAACTCAAACTTGGCATGTATGAACTTACTTGGACTCGAATCCAACCCTGGCCATCAGGCACAAGCTCGGTGGTCTAGAGATATGATGCCAGGCTAGTGATCTGGAGATCGTGGGTTCGAGTCCCACCCGAGAACAACTTGCGATTTTTTCGCAGTTGTTTTCAAATGTACGGAGTATTCGGTACATTTCCATGTCAGGTAGGGTAAAAAAATTACACCTATACATGTTTCTCCTGACACAAATCCAGTTATTGTCTATTATTCCATCTGGACAATAACAATTACTATGAGGGTAAATTTACTCCTTAAATTTAAAGGTATTCTATCCTCAATCAAACTTGGGCCTAAATATCAGAATGTGCATTTAAGTGGCAATCGTTGAATTCGTCATTTGAAAATCATCTTTGACATACAATTCTCTTCCATCTGTTCTGAAACAGAAAGTCTGAGTTGTACAGTATGGACCGAAAATGGCAGGAAATTGCTGATTTAAAGAAGTTTAAAATTGCTGCTGCCCCCTATGGTGGACCAATAGGTGAGTGATAACTATGTCAATTTGATGAATAAATCTTCTTGGTGAGGTTCTCCTCTATTGTTATGATGCTACAAGATGGTTATTTCTCCTGTAATTTTATTGTAATTCATTTTCATCAATTTTGAAATTGTTTTAGTTCTCCAGAGAAAAGATTTTATTGATTGTTCGTTCGCTTTAGTACAAGTTTTTTAGAACAATACTGGAATTGAAAATAATTTACAAATACAAAGACTCCACAGCATGATTTATGTATTTATTTAAAAATTCTAATTTATAATATTTTTTGCCTCCATTGTTAAAAGTTTAAAGGTTATTTATTTATATTGCGCAAAATACGAGAGTCTCTATGTGCAAAACAAGTGAGCAGATGTAATTGGAAAATAAAAAAGAAAATTGTCTTACAAGAATATCAGCACATTAGTGTGTTGAACTGTTTTTTTTTTTTTCAAAACTTCTGGTAGTGGAATACTACAAGTCCATATGCTCAGGGAAATTGACAATCATTTTTAAAAAAGATTATATTTTTATATTTTTATACAGCTACAAACTTCATTATATAAATTTATATTATTTATAATATAGCATTGATTCGAGATGATACTAAGATTCTACAAGTCAAGGGAAGTGCTCGACCAATCGTGTACATTTTCACATCAGCTGGAGTGCAAGTAGCGTCGTTTATTGTAAGTATTCTTTTTTTTTCTGTTATAAAACAATATTAAAAACATAAGTTAACTATAATACAAGTTATACATTCTTTCAAACAGCTAAAAAAATTATTACTTTTCTCTCATTGCAGTGGAAAAGTTTGCGTGTCATACATATTGCATGGACCAATACAGAGGACTTGATGATTATACAAGAAGATGGTACTGTGCACCTTTATGACATGCTTGGAAGTCACAAGAAAACATTCACAATGGGCCAGGTAAGAAAGGTTATTCACTTCGTATTCATTGAGTTACTAATACAGGGTTAAAGAGTAAAATTGAGCTATAAAATGGTAAAAAAAATCATTCAAATCCGACATTTCCTTATGAAGTTACAAGCATTTAAGCATACAGCTGTTTAAAGAAGAATATATGAGAAATCAGCCTTCAAAGTTTATGATTTCAGGCATTTCTCATAAAATCATTAAAAAGTGTTGTTTAAACATTGAAATTGGGAAAAATTACAGCACAGCATGATGTATAGATACATAAACCTTAGTTTAGTGAAATAAAATAAATTTTTAAAAATTTTACATTCTAGCATATTTTTGCTAATTTCTCTGAAACACAATTTGCAACGAGTGACTGGTTTGGCTTGTCTTTGCCACATTTCTTTATTCAGCACAATAAATAACATTACACAAGAAAACATAGCAAAAACAGCTTGAAAATAGCCCTCCATTGGTCCAGTTAGAAACCTGGGCATGAAACACACCATCTGGATTAACCATTCCTAACCAATTGATACCATTTAGTAATCACTGTATTTTATTTTTGTTTCTTTCACATCTAAAACAGCAGTGTTTTTTCTTGATTCACAAGGTTGAAATGAGATGCTGTATAAAAAAAATATCATTACTGTACTTAGAATGACATACTTAAGAAGGAAAACCCCTCTGAAAGAATGGTTGCACCCCACTAACAACTTTGAAAATGTAAACAAAAAAATATCATGTAGTTAAAATTCATTCTTGTCGCCTCCTATTCCCCCTCCTAGTTCTTCCTCATTCATTTCAGATTTTTGAAACTAATGTCCTCATCTCAGCTATCATATTGGTCTCATGAAGTTGCATAATCCAATACTTAATTAAGTTTTCCTGCAACGCGTTCATCGATCTCTTTCTAGAAAATTAAAAATAAAACATGTACAGATTCGAACTAGATCATTTTTTTTGGTGAGCATATGTCAGTAAACCTTTTCTTTAACCATTTCTCTTTAATTATTTTTAATACAGGATGCGAAAGAAACAAAAATTCTTGAGTGCAAGACATTCCGTAGTTTTTCTGGTACTGGATTAGCCATTTTGACCGGCAGCTTTCGTATTTTTGTTGTCAACAATGTGGAAGAACCCAGGTTGAGGAGAATGGCTGAAATACCAGGTATGACAAAAGAAAATAAATTCCATTTTAATTTTTAAAAATACTCAAATTAAAAACAATAAAAATAAACACTAGTTGAAAGGATCACAAAAAATGTAAACTAAGTCACTGGAAATAGCAATTTTGGTTATAAAAATAAAGGTAGGAGAATAACCCAAAACTTGCAGCGCCATTGTGCTGAATTATGTATGGGCGTGGTCTGTGACTACCCAGCAGCCGTAAAGAGGTGCTTCTAGTAAATCACATTAAGTCTTCTCGGGTAAGGACTTGGCCCAGTGTACTCATTTGGCTCGTGTTGAGCCCAGTAGGGGGTTACCCCGGTGTACTGGTCCATTTAGTCCCCTGTTGTTTAATGGATATGCCACGTAGGATAGTGATTAAGTTCGCTGATTGGCATATCCTTGGCACTCGTGCCAAAAGAAATGAAAATGAAATGAAAAAAAAAATAATTCGACAACGAAGGGCTGAAATGAACCATAGCATTGGGGTGACACCCTACTCTTCTGAGAGATGCAATGGGTTCTTTAAAGTGCACACGAGTCAGATGTGTACACTGAACCTCCATTATAATTCCTTATCCAAGAAGACTTGGTTCTACTAATGGACCCCTAGGAGAGGAGCGGCTGGAACTAGCACCGATCTCAAAGCTGTTGTTAGCGGTGCCCCTGCCTTACCGCTCGGCCACTTGCCTCTCCAGGGTTATTACAAAAGTCTACTTCATGGATACTTACCTGGATAAACCAAATAATTGCCTATTCTCTCCCAAAAGAGAATAGGTAATAAAAAATAATCGAGTTGTCCGACCCAGGTGTATATAATGGGCTTATTCGACTGGTTCATTCCGTTGAGTACGAATTTTCGTTGAGTATATTTTCATTCGACTGGTTCGTAAAATAGACTTTGTTGACAACGAAAATTAACTTAACCAGAATGCGTTAATCAGTGTTAAATTATGCACGTAACCAAAAAAAATATGCCTGATTTAGCAATTTATAGCCGATTTAGCAGTTTAGCAACAACATTTGCATTAATATAATTCAGATTAAATTTCATAAAATGTATTGCAGAGTGTATTGCGGTAACTATGCAGCCATTTTGTTTTGTCAAGTATTTACCAGACTTTTTCTATTTGACTGGTCGTCTTTCTTAAGTAGGATTTTACCAGTGCGCAGGTGAACATGGTTTAACGAAGAACGACCAGATGAATACGGCCAATGCCACAAGTTAATATACAATTCAAATGTGATATATGAATTTCAATTAATTTTTTTTTTTTTTTTTATTTATTCAAGACTCAACAGTGTATCAAAAACACCAAAAACAGAGTAGCCATAAAAATATACAATATCATTCATAAAAATATATACATTTTTTTTTTTTTTTTTTTTTAAAAAAACATAAAAAGCATAAAAAAAATCATAGTACTATATTATGAACCGGTATTTAGTATAAGATTAAAAAATAGAAATATTACAATTAAAAATATCAATATTAGGAAAAATTTGAACTAGATTATTATAAAAAAGTGCAACACGACGACCATGAATATTTTTTGTTATTTATTTGAAAAGGTCTGGAATCTGCCCCCAGTAGTTGGTGTGTCATATCCAGTGAGAGGCAGTCTCTGTTGCAGCTGCTATTGCTGTTGTTGCAGCTGCTATTGCTGTTGTTGCAGCTGCTATTGCTGTTGTTGCAGCTGCTATTGCTGTTGTTGCAGCTGCTATTGCTGTTGTTGCAGCTGCTATTGCTGTTGTTGCAGCTGCTATTGCTGTTGTTGCAGCTGCTATTGCTGTTGTTGCTGCTGCTATTGATGTTGTTGCTGCTGCTATTGCTGTTGTTGCAACTGCTATTGCTGTTTTTGTTGCTGCTGCTACTTTTGTTGTTGCTGCTGTTGTGTTTTGATGCTGCTGCTTTTGTTGTTGCCATTTGTGTTCGATGCTATTAACAGGTAATATGCAGAAAAAGTTTATAAAACTTGGATAAACTTTTTTTTTTAGATAAAATATAAAATGGATTCTTAATTTCTTACACCAGGCTTTAGAATTGGATGCACCTGTAAACTCTTTCATGGAGATGTCAGTGTCCTTTGATCATCGCTTCTTAGCATTGTTTGCAGATACTGGTGTTTTCTGGGTTGGCTCATCTGACCTAAAAGTATGTTTACATTCAGAAATATCTACCTGCATTTATGTCTATATTAAAATGTTGGTTATGGAATAATAATGCTTTTTTTTATTGTTTGATAGTTTTTAAGTATCGTAAAAGAATTAAAACTGCGTCTCCTTCATTAATAGAGTGTGATTTTTTTAATTCTATGTCCTGGATAACATGCATAACAAAACTTCTCTCGTTATATTCTGTATTGAATCAATATCAAAAACATTATGATACACATATGAATTGTGTCATAATTTAGTATTAAAATGTCCGGAAAAAAAAAAAAAAATCTGTGTACTGTAAACATGCTTACTTAAAATGTAAAATATATCTTTGTTTAATATATTCTTGACTTATAGTTATTTTTGGAGTAACATTACAAATTCATTTTTTGTATAAATTTACAATTTTAAGAGGAAGCATTGTGAGTTTGATACAAAAAGTAAAACAAGGCCAAAGCAATTAAGTTGGTGTGGCGTTGGAGCGATTGTGGCGTACTGGGAAAACATGTTGGTGATGATAGGCCCCGATAAGGACTGGGTTAAGTATACGGTGGACAGTGAGGTCCACTTGACAGCTGAATACGATGGCCTTCGTATTATAGGAACACAAACTCACGAGATGTTACAGCGAGTACCAAGTAAGTGCACAATCATGTTGTAATTTTCCTGTCATTTTTACTATTTCTTTTGTTGTATAAATTATCTTCGCTGTCACTACTATTATAAGGATTGTATTAAAATAATATATTTTAATTTATAATGTAAAAAAATGCCTTCATATAAATGCTTAATCAACCCACAAGTGTATAATTTTCGTTTTTTGACTCCTATTTATAGAGGAAAACAAAGTTAATACTGTGCATAAATAAACAAAATTTATTCATTTTGCTGCATGAGCAACAGATTATGCAAAAATAAATTGTGTGAAATCTTGATAACACATGTAAACACTTGAGATATATAGTTAATATGGAAGAAAAGTTTATTACAAAAATTACTTGTTGGAATAATGATCCATGGCACTTATTCAATTGCTTATTATATTTAGTGGAAAGCACATTTAATCTACCATAATGTGTTATAGTGTCATTTATGATAGAGTGATAATTTTATTTCAGATGTGGTGGAGGATATATTCAAAATAGGATCAATGGCCCCAGGTGCTATGTTGTATGAAGCATCAAGGGAATTTCAGGTAGCTCTATATTTTAGTATAATTGTAAAGCAAATGAATATTCTATTATTATGAGTCTTGTGGTACGCCACATCAATTTGATATATTCAGGAAAATATATCTGAAGTGATATTTTGACAAAAATTGGTTTTCAATTTTTCTGTTAAAGTTTAGTATGTTTCATAGTAGCAAAAGTTCTGAGTTGAGTTACCTAAGGTACTGTAACCATGTTTTTGAGGCACATTTTGTAAAGGTATTTTTCAAATTTGATAGAAAACCAACGAGAAAATGATTTTATTCCTGTTTTACTCAACATAGGAACATGATTTAAAGACCAAAATAAAGCATATATATTCATCTATCTAAATATATCAATAATTCATTTTTCATTTTTCGTACCACAAAACTCATTTTGTCACGACAGCTCACATTTGATTATCACTAGTATTTTGTTGGCCATCAATCCTTGGTGGAAGTATAAAAAACCCACTTTTTCTCATCAATTTTTCTAGTGATTTAGGCTGACAATCTAATATATTTTTTATGGTAACGTACAGAAAAAGAGTGAAAAGGCAGATGAGTATATTCGTGAGATCAAGGACCAACTCCAGAGGGCGGTACAGCAATGCATTCAGGCTGCCGGAGCCGAGTATGAGCCAGCAACTCAAAGGATGCTACTTCGTGTAAGTATTTTATTTTCAAGCTCTCTGATTGGCTAAGGTTATACAGTCTGTGTTGAGATATAAAGTTAAGATAAAAAAAAATATGATTTTTTTTTTAACAATCGAATGACTTCACTTTTTCCTTGTAGGCTGCTGCATTCGGCAAGTGTTTCCTTACTAACATGAAACCGGATATGTTTGTCAACATGTGCCAGATGCTGCGTGTTCTCAACGCTGTGCGGGATTACCGCGTGGGAATTCCGATTACCTACGATCAGTATCCTTTGTCTTCCCACCCAGAATTCTAATTTGTATCAATATATTAGATTATGTATTGTTAATATTCATTTTATTATTTTGTTAGTCCTTTTATTAAAATTACTGTAATATTAATTTTTACTCATATTTACATACAGTTTCAAGTTCTTGAATGCAAATTAATGTATTTGATTGTTATTAATAATAATGGTTTTATTTCTTTTGTAGTAGTTTATAGGAATTGATTATTTCCCCCCATTCATTTAGTAAGAATTTCTCCAGATGCTCTTTTAGCTTGTCATCTGATACAGAGTATATTATTCTCAATACGCAGCCTCCTCCACTCTCTGGGGTAATATTCCAAGTCATGTAAACATGAACAGTAATTCAGCACTACAAATTCCCTTCTGATTGATTCACCTACTACCAGAGGTACCCATGTCAAATCCAGTCCACATGTCAAGCGCCATGAGAACCTTGTTTGGTGGATACCGGCGTTATACAAATCCACACTATTATTATTATTATTAGCGTAGCGGATATACATCACATCGTTTACACAAATCCAGTCGTATGCGGCGCCCTTCAGTTTAAATATAGCAAATTTACTCACGTTTATCCAGTTCACATTCATCCGTTCTGTTGCTAAGTAAATCCAGACGTAAGCGGCGGCCTTCTCTTTTCGTTAATGATGGAAACTTTATCACTAATCAGAGTCTGGTCATATGATTCTGTGCTTTTGTTTCTGTTATTTTATTCTTTTGATTTATTTATGCCTAATTGTTTGTATCTTATGGGGGGCAATGATTTCTACCTCCACCAAAAGGGCCGCCAAAAGAGGTTATTTATTTACAGTGATGTCAGTTTGGCAGAAGTTTTTTTAGATCCAGTCATATGCGGCGCCCCATTGCTTGTATTTCCACCATGCATTTTGGTGGAACACTTTCTTGTCTGTGGAGAGCTCTATATTGTGTTTCTAGTATCTTTGCCTTAGTGAAGAAAGACAAATGAAGATGAAATGTCTTGTGCAAGCACGCGTACAATGTGGCCAGTGTTGGTCTTGAACTGATGACCTAAAATATTACTGTATACTAAATCTAAACTGCTTTATCTCTTATAATTTACTACAGAAAACAATTGTGTTTATAATATATTCCTTAATGTTAATTTTTAAGATTGAAGCATCTTACATTACCAGTCCTGGTTGACAGGTTGGTATGGCATAAGGAGGATTTTATTTCTTCTATTCTGAAAACAATATGCCCATTAATTTTGTAATATAAATATCTAACCATTACTCAATTTAACTTTCTTTCGCCACCAGCCCACTGGGCTATTTTACTGTATATTTCACTAGCCCATTGACTATTTTACTAGCCCAATCATTGGCTACATTTTACATCAGTAACATTATGTTCTTGGCCAAGCATACTTGCAGTAATAGTTTATAACTGATCACTGGTCCACCGGGTTAGTAAGGTAGGTTTACTAGCCCAGAGGAGTTTTACTGTACATTGTATGATGGACTAGTACTAAATCGAGCCCTGATGGCTGACTTGGGGTCAACAAGTTTCAGCCTAGTGTTTATTAATAGGGTCTTAAAAAATGGCAGTGTTAAGATGTATATTTTAATATAGTGAAAAAAGCCCTGAGTTTCCACAATTGAACCTATGACCTTGAGATTAGATGGTGGGCACCTTAAAGAATAAACCATAGCTCCATTGAAGTTGTTTGTTTGATTAAAATATTGATATTTTATCTGTGATTTAGGTTGATATTGAGAAGGAATTGGTGTTTAGCTGTTCGGATCTGCAAATACCTTAAATTGCCGGAAACAGAAGGAGAAAGCAGAATCCTAGGCCACTGGGCATGTTACAAGGTATGCATTTGTATTTTTTATTTTTAAAAATCGATTTATTTTTAAAATCTAATGTTATCCTGTATAGTTTCAGAATACATTATTGACATTAATGCTGTATAATTGCTGAAAGTTGTAGATAATATTATTTATAGATAGGATGGATGGATTTATTCGGTGTAAACACCAAGGATAGCCCACGAAAGTCTAGAAGAAGACTTATTTCCAGTGGGGTCATTCTGGTGGTGATTGGGAAGTCCACCGGGAGACAATCCCCTACTCTTTTCTGAAGAGTGTACTGCGCTCTTTAACGTGCACCCATAATGCACACGAGACCAACGGCTTAAACGTCTCATCCGAACGATGGTGCGCTATTGTAACTTGTATTTCAGCCCTCTAACTAAAACACAAGGAGAGGCAGCGATGGGAATTGAACCGGGGACCTAGAGATCTCGACGGTTCAGCACACACACAGCGGCTACCACCAGATTAGCCGACTGAGCTAAGCTGCTCTCTCTCTTATAATAATAATCAGCATGGATTTATTTACGAGTTTACGAAGGCACATCCTGCAAAGGACGGATTCCTAACTGCAGGGCAGCAGGGGCTGTATGGACCAGTACACCAGGGTAACCCCCTACTTGCCTCCTAAAGGATATACTGGTTCTTTAAAGTGCACATGAGCCAATTATGTGCACTGGGCTTACCATTTATAGTCCTTATCTGAGAAGAATTCCAAAACCAGCAACATAGGCGAGTGTGCCACTCGAACCAGCAGTGATATTAATGCTAGTTTTCAGTTCCCCTGCCTTAACCGCTTGGCTATCCGACTTGCCTTAATGTGACTGTATTTGTTTTTGTATTTATTGTGACATATATTTAAATATATCTTGTTGTTTTGATTTGCTGATAAATTGTTAGAGAATCTTTAAGGTGTACTTTATTTATTTCCTTATTTATTTTTCTTTTTGTTCTAGGTTCAGCAGACGCACGTTGCTGATGATCAAATTGCTAGGGCAATCCAGAGTAAGCTAGGGGATACTCCAGGGATCTCTTACTCTGAGATTGCATCCAAGGCTTGGGAATGTGGCCGAGCTGGCCTAGCAGTCAAGGTAAATGCTTAATATGCCTAATTATAATATATTTGTCTTAAATACAACATTAACTTATCAAATATAGTTGTCTTTTTATGATTAAGAAAATTACGATGGCATTATTTTACATACTATATATTACTTTCCAATCCTGATTGAATAGTAATAGTGTTCAGTATGTTGTGCGAGTCATTGTGTAAAAAAGTTAAACAAATATTTTTAATAATGATCACACCGTGTTGATATGACCCTCCAAACTTAGGCTTAGACCTTAGACCTAAGTCTAGATGAGATAAAATGGGGATTAAGTAAGAATTTTCAAGTTATTTTGGGATCTGTTGGAAAATGGAAACCTTTTGAGCTGTTATTTCCTTCAAAAATTGGAGGGCTTTAAACATTTACTTTTCCAGGAAATAATGGTTCCTTCAGCTTTTAACAGCGCCCTCAAGAGCTGACTGTAGCCTTTTTTTTTCTAGGATAGTGTGGTAAAATCTCATGAAATTCATAATCATTCTTACAGAACATATTTGGCGCATGCGCTATCTTCAAGTCTGTGTCGTCAGCCTGAATAATCAGCTGCTTTTTTACTTTTACTGTTTTTTTCTGTTTTAATGTATCCCTGTACCTTGTTGTTAGTTTTCCTCCACTGTACCCCTTTTTCTGGATGAGACTTTTTATTGAGATTTTATTATGTATATTTAAAGTTAAACTTCCTTTTGTATTTTTTTCAAAATGCAAAAGGTGTTATCATATTCGTATTTGTAATACTTAGATTAGATATAGAAATCTGTGAACACATATACATACTCAACACTACACACATTTTCATAACTTGGATTTGGCACTCTGATTCCCTGTGGAAAATTTCATAATACAGCTAGTTATTTAGCCCAATGGTATTTAAACTACAAAGGAGATACAATGTGGATAAGCACCTTTTCCAAGGAATCTGCTTTAGACCACTAGATAGAGTTAGATAGAGCATGGCGATATAAAATTAGAACCTCCATGGATACAGGAAGCTACTCTATGTGTTCATAGCTTCCTGTACTTAACTGCTTTAAACTAGATACAGGAAACTATATAACTGAAAGTACAGTACATACATACAGTACATTACAGATTTACATTTGCCACTCAGTAATTAAAAGTGTTTCCTCACTGTTGTTAAACATTGTGTACTGGTAGAATAATCATCATTTAATACTACGAAAAACAATTATTATCATCATTTACATCACCATCATTCAAATCATCATTATCATTATATCATCATAATGATTTTAGTCTAATTGTTTCTATTGTCATCATGATTGAAAGTACTATTAAAAATAGTCTTCAAGGAATTGGCATACAGCATATAGGTGCTGTTCGATGTGTTTTTGAACTGTTGTTGATTTTTAATATTTTAAATGGTCTATACATCACTACATTAAAATAATTATCTCTATTCTGTGCATGTTATTATAATATTAAGGGCAGCATTTTAAACCAAGTCATTTGTAATTATTTGTAAAAGGAATTTGTCTTTTTTTTTATTATGTCTACCTATGTTTTTAAATACATATCAAAATCAACCAAATCATAGTTTAAAGTATGAACTACGAATTGGCTTCTTACCATAGACATATCACATAAACATTCTGAATGTTGTTTGCTCTAAATGTTTCAAACTTGTTCTGGCATGCTGTCTACAGTACAAGCAATTTTTTGCTGTTTATGCCTATTCATGCTTGTCTTGCAAGTTTCATATTGTCATGTCCTATTTATATATATTCATTCACATTTCTCTGGGAATTTTCCACTGACGATTACTGATTTATCCATGATGGGTGCTTGTTTGGTAAAACCTAGGCTTACCCAGGAGGAAGACCTAACCCTACCGAAGGCCTGTTATAATTCAGTTGTTTTTAGATTTAAATATGTATACAATACTGTAGAGGGAAGACTAATACTGCTGATTTAGATAGGCATTATTTCAGCTCTAGGCCTAAAGGGGAATTCACATCACAAAATCGGATCAGTGTGTAATAATAAAGACCGACTAATGACTACCACTAGGGGTCTGTCCAACAAAGCGCTTAATCTTTCCACCCTATCCAAGTGGGAATATTAATAGTTTGACTGGCTGCTTGATTGTTTGGGCTAGACCTTGGTCTTTTCTAGGCCTGAGAGGGAAAGGACATTCTTACATATGCCTTACAAAAGGATAATTAGTAAAGCATGCATATCGGTCGTCCCGAGGCAAAACAACGTAACTGACATTTTTGTCGATTTTGAGATAATATCGTTTGGGAGTATATTGAACACTTCTGAATTACCTGTGAAAATTTCAGGCCTCAATAATGAGTCGTTTCAGATATAGCACCACCTATCTTTAAGCACAAGACTTAAAATCTAGTGGTTTTCCGTGGCAAAACAACGTAACTACAAAATTATGGGGCAAAACAATGTACAGTATCTACGATGAAGATACGCTGTTTTGCCTCGGAATGGTATTCAAAAATTGTCTTGAGTTGATGGAGTTTGGTAAGGAAAGTTCAAATGGTTATTGATGTTTTTATATCAATAATCTTAACAGCGACATATGAAAAAGCTAGGTAATGCATATGATTGCTCCAAACGTGATAAATTCCAAAAATATGTCTTACTTGCAACAATACCGAGCCTGACATGTTTCCGAGGCTAAACAATGTATCTGTATTTATCGCTAATAACTTTGCAATAAACAAACAATCCTATTAATATACAATCCTGCAAAGTTTAAAAAGGGTACAACAATTAATATTGCAAAGTTTCGAACATGCAAATTTTAACTCTATTTTTCCCCAAGTGAAAGATTCAAGTCATGACTTTGCCACAGATATAACCATGTGCTTCTACAACGAAGAAAGTATGTGTATATTAAAATTACTGTTTTAATATACACATACTTTCTTCGTAGTAGAAGCACATGTGTGTATATTAAAATTACTGTTTTCAGTTGTGGTTGGTTGAGTCAAAATACTTTGAGAATAGAAGGCATACTATGTTTCATTTTCTTCAGACAGGCCACAGCACCTCTCACCTTTATCAGGCACTACCGATCAGACCAAAATAGAATCCTAGAGAATCCAAAGGCACTACTGTAAATGCTCGAATAAACGCTGTGGCGCTTATAAAATTTTTGGAGGCTTCCGTGCAGCGCTTATTCGAGAGTGTGCCCGTTCCCATGTTACCTATCTCACATATTCCTGTAGTTCAGTAGGCCTATCTAGATCCTACGTCATTGTAAATAAACGGCTCTGTAATCATTAGTGGTCGTGGGACTAGTTTGGGCCCTACCTAAGCTGGTCGAACGTTTCGTTTGGGTCTGTACCCTAGCTGCACTGATGAGGCCTAGAAGGCCGAAACAGATCCGTCTGCAGATATTGGGATTCCTTCCAGTGGATGCTTAGTTTATTTTGTCATTCTAATCGGATTTTCACTACTGTTCCATTTTAATTTTAATTTTAAATTGTTTTGCATTATACAGTATAGCTGTTTGCTGTTTTATTGGTGTTTCCCATTTGCCTTTCAAACTTTTCCACGGTCTTTAGCAGTTTGGTTTTTAATTAGAATATATTCCTTAACATGGGACCACAAAAAAAGTGTTCTTTAATTGGAGGGTATATAATTAGAGGGAGATTTTTATTATTGTTGCTATTATTGTTTTTGTTATTAGTATTGTCGACAACAGAATCCGGACATGCTGGAGAACCTGTATGAGCAGGTAGATGATTACGTGGAGATGGCAAATGTTAAAGTCTGTAACAGTTACATTTATGCGTCAGAGGTAAGCTTGTAACAACCATTTCTTGCAAGTTTCCATCGTTGATTCCTATTAAGTCCCCAAATATTATTAACCGTAACTTATCCAAATACACGACAGTTCAGAATATATAATAATTATAAATATGTTTGCAGGAGTTTGGTTATTTTCTGGGGGATTCGTGCTTTGCTTTTGGAAGTGCAAGAGGTCACTTTTGTGACTTCTGGAAGATTTGAGACCCTGAAAAATATAGTATTTAATTATTATTATTATTTAATTATATAAAATTTTTTAATTTTTTGCTCTTAGAAAAATGTGAAGACACAGATCGACATGTTACATGTTGCGCAAGAAAACTACAAGAAAGCAAACTATGAATTTGCTACCAAGGTATTATGTTCTCCATTTTATTTTATTTAAAAAGCTTTTTTTCATAACAAAAGCAATTACACTTGTCATGGTGCCATGGATTGTTACATTAATCCCTGTCCCTTAGATACTGTTGTCAAGCTCACACAAAGTGACAGCCATCAATATTTCCATGAAAATGTATTGTACATACTATTTTTTTAATATTATTTTAAATAATGACAAAAAGACATTTTGTTTATTACTACCGACTGTTAAATGTTTAATTAAGCAATTTATTAATTTATTTAGAGATTAGAGTGATTTGCCTTTTATTTTTCTAAATGGTATTCTAGATGACCGAGGAGCAGATAAAATTGTTATCGTACCAGAAAGATATGGAGGCTGACTTGAAACAGCCGTACCTGAATTTATCAATTCATGACACAATTTTAGAGCTTTTACTCACAAATCGAACAAAACTTGCAGAGCAACTTAGGAAAGAATTTAAGGTACCAGACAAAAGGTCAGTTTATAAACTTTAAGATTTTCAAAGGTAGCCAATTCAAGTTTTTCATGTTTATTTGATTTACATGACCTAGCAAGAACTTTCAGTAGATGTTTTGATATGCTTTTTATAACAGTTTGTATGAACATGTATTGCTGTACACTTTGGTGTATTTTTCGCTAAATTATGAAATGGAAATTTCCAAAAACCTGGCAACTACCACTGGGGGTGGGGGCATCCAGAGCATAGGTATTTCGCTCTACGTAGTTACCAGTGTTTATCTGTGCTGTGTGACTGGTGCACAACCTTGTTTTTGTAGAGGCCTAGGCTAGTCTTTGATAACACAATGCAAAAAGAAAAAAAAAAGAAAGGGCATGTTAAACCTGAAGTGTTATTGGTTGTCGGAGTATTTAAAAGAAGATATGTGTCTGGAGAACGAAATTTGCTCAGGCTAGGCTGTTGGATGTTCCCCCAGCGAAAAGTTGCGAGTTGTTGATGGCGCTGTTTCAAAGTAGACCCAATAAAATTTTGTATACACAAGGTCAAGTTAAGTATACCCAAGTTTATAATTTTCGTTCTGGAGAACGAAATTTGCTCAGGCTAGGCTGTTGGATGTTCACCCAGCAAAAAGTTGCGAGTTGTTGATGCCGCTGTTTCAAAGTAGACCCAATAAAATTTTGTATACACAAGGTCAAGTTAAGTCCACCCAAGTTTATAATTTTCGTTCTGGAGAACGAAATTTGCTCAGGCTAGGCTGTTGGATGTTCACCCAGCGAAAAGTTGCGAGTTGTTGATGCCGCTGTTTCAAAGTAGACTCAATAAAATTTTGTATACACAAGGTCAAGTTAAGTCTACCCAAGTTTATAATTTTCGTTCTGGAGAACGAAATTTGCTCAGTCTAGGCTGTTGGATGTTCACCCAGCGAAAAGTTGCGAGTTGTTGATGCCGCTGTTTCAAAGTAGACCCAATAAAATTTTGTATACACAAGGTCAAGTTAAGTCTACCCAAGTTTATAATAAGGTTGCTTTGTGCTTACGCTTCGTAAACCTAGGTACTTTAGTGCTAGCATTATGTTTGGAAAACAATGTTCCTTCTTTTCTTTTCCTTTAAATATTTTTATTGAGAATGTTAAATTTTGATCAGGTTTGTTAAATTGTTTTTTGGGTATGCAGGCTGCAGTCGTAAGCGCTCCATTGCGTGCACTTCGTGTTCTTTACAGAATCGCGTCGGCCAATGATTTTTGGCGCAAGGAATACTCAGCTTTATGACATGAACGATCCTTCCCCCGTGATGCATAGTTCATATTTTCTGTAATTTTTGTTTATTTTGCTGTATGGAAACCTTTTCCAAAATAATATATTGAATAAATATTTTTATATCTGATATAAATCCAAAAATGTAATGTGTGTTTCCATGTTTTGTTAACCTAACAGTATATAATGTTAAATAATAGATTACTTTTATTATTTATTTTATAGGTTTTGGAGAATAAAGATTGAAGCTTTGTCTGAGACAAGAGATTGGATTGAATTAGAAAAATTCTCCAAAAGTAAAAAGTCTCCTATAGGGTTTGAGGTCAGTTTGCATAAAATGTGCTTTATAATTTATTATACTGTTATTTTTTTTATTCAAGAGTATTAAACTAAGCTAAAAATAATCAGTATCTTTGGTAAAGCACATTTTTGAGAGCTATGTTCATTTTAGAGAGCCGATTATTTGAACATTCTTTGTAACAATTATAATTTTATTGCTATTCTTATTTTCATGGCAGCCGTTTGTTGAAGCTTGCTACAAATATGGAAACATCACAGAAGCTAATAAATATGTACAGAAGGTTCCACCAGAAAACCGGGTCAGAATGTACCTTCGAATCGGGTAAGAGATTCACATTGTCTAGGTTTTAGTTGTTTTATTTCCAGCCAATATACAATAATAATATGTATTTATTTTGTACGCAAACATACAAATTGAATAAACTGTTATTAGACCATTTTTGTTATGTAATAACAAAAACACAGTATTGTATTGCATACTTTTGTGCCTGGGGGAAATTTTACCCCCTTCATTTCCAAGGTCCTGGGTTCAATTCCTGCAGTGTTGATGGAGTTGAGTTGTGACTTAGTGGTAAGTTTCTTGCCTTTCAATTCCAGGGTGGTGGGCTCAAAACCTTTGAGACATGATTTTTTTCTAACGTCTAAAAATAACCCAACTCCCTTACCATCCCAAAGGAACCTAATAATTTATAGAAAGGATTCCATTACTTTGTGATTGTACTTGCTTTTGGATGCCAGAGAAACATATACTAAATATATTTTATATTTGAAAAAAAAAAAAAAAAGAAACTGTTTATGTTACAGTGTTAAGACAAAAAATTATTATTATATTAAACCATAAAATAGATATAAATAAGACAAATTGTATTTGTTCATTTGGTCAGTTTTTTTGATGAATAAATAAAGTAATGGATTTCTATGTATTGAGATTATTAAATAATTAAAATGACATTGAATCATAACATGTAAATACAGTTAATTATACTTCTATTTGGGATAAAAGAATGTATTTATTGAGAAAAATATATAAATATACCATGAAATAAATATAATTAATATCAAACACGATTTGGCTATTTTCCTGGTCTGTGTATATAGTAATTTTATCATTTTGTTTTATTTCATTATTGTCCAAAACAGTGAATTGCCACTTTTATTTAGGATGGGAATGATGTTCAATGGAGGAAGTAAAACCATATCCAGACTATTAAGTTTTATTTCACAAAAACTTATGAAATCACATCATGACCTTAATATGTATGAACATCATGACTATGCTCTGCAAACAATTATTTTAATATTTTAAAATTTATGTTGCATATGTTTCTCCGTTGGTACTGGAGAGCTCCCTGACAGATGGGCATTGCCCTCTCTTGGGCAATCCTACCAGGTGCTGCTGAGTGGTTTTTGTGTTATTGTATTTGTATGTTTGTTCTTGTGAATTTGGTGAAATAAATGATATGATATGATATATGATATGATATATATGGACATACATAAGAATTTTGTCAGAGAAAATTTGATAATCTGGACAGCGCTCTAATACAAGACCTAAAAGAGTCCTGAGTAAAAAATAATTGATTATCGAGAATTTGTTCTCGTCAGTCTGTTATAAGTAATGATATTATTAAAATTTTTAAATTTATTTATTTAAAAAAAATTTAAAGCATGGCTTGTTTTTTTCTTTTCATAGTGTTTTAGATCAAGCGGCCGAAGCTGCCTTTCAAATCAAGAGTGAAGAAGATCTTAATTTGGTGCTGATGAAATGCGGCGTACAAAACAAACAAGTTGCTGCTAAAATAGCCAATATGAAGTCACAACTTGGAAGAAAATAATAATATAAAATAATAATATTTATAAAAAATTATGCAGATATATACATATATATATAGGCCTATATATATATATATATATATATAATCAAATTACGTTCAATAACATGATATAATGTGGTTCAATGACACTAATTCTCAAATGATCACTGATGCTAAGGCAAGACTTTTTTATACCTTTTTAGCAAACCCACTGCCTGCAAATAATGATGATTTTGAAATCTCCAAAGATATGTATATTTCTTCCTAATTGTATAAATTTAAAGCATTTAACCATCCCATTAATACACTGTTTACATTTCCCAATAAAATGTTATTTTCATTTTCTCCTCCGTCTGGATGTTTTTGCTAAAATTATATGCTGAATACGAAAACAAACCTTTATATTTATAATCGTTAAAAAAATGAATTCGCAAAACAAGGAATGAAAAAGTCTCGCCTAATTATTATGTAAGCTACTCAACAGCAAAACTGTGTGATAGACATGTTGAAGATGTACTGTCAGTCTTGAGCCAAAATAAAAAAAATTCAATTCAATTTTTTAATTTTTAAAATTCGTATTAAGTAAGTTATGAACTTATGAGTTATGAGTTAAGTAAGATATGGGGTGGTTTCCTGTGGATATATATCACCTGTATATATGCGAAGAATACACTATTGATCATTTTTATTACAGTCATTAGTTGTACATTGCAATACCAGTTTAGTGACTAAATAAAAAATATAAGGTAGGCCTACATACGAGCATGTACATCATCCTTTTATTTTCATTTTCTTCTCCGTCTGTGTTATGAATGTAGAACAAACTTCAATAATCTGTCTCTCATGGTTTATCTCTGTTTTCTTCAGTTTTCATGTTTGGTTTTGTTCATAGTCAATGTTTATTTATGTATGCGTATGGCCTCGAGATAATTGGCGTATCGTTTGCCATGATGCTCATGAGCGATTTTGATATCTCATTTTAATAATTCAGTTCACTATATGTACACAAGAGCCTAAGGCACGAAACAGATTTGGTTCGCTGAGGTCTGTCCAGGGTCCCAGCGAACCGAGACGTGCCTTGGCTGGGGGGGGGGGGCGTTGGAGAATCCTGTCAATTCTTTTTGTTGGGATATCAAACATCGCAGCATATGCTGAATTATTATATATCCAACACATTTTTGATAGTGATGAGACATCAAAAACTATAAAATATTTATATTAACATTTAAAAGCATTAAACATTATAAAAATAACATTAAAAGTAATTGAAAAACATCAAAAGGTTAGTTTACAAAAAAACAATATAAAAAAAACAAGTAAACGGGAGCATTAAGAGCATTCACGTTAAAAATTCAAAAAATACATCAGCTTAACAATTTAATAGAAATAATAAGATAAAAAGGGAAAGTAAAAAGCACAGGAAATCGTACTAAGGATTTAAACAAGTCAGTTGAATTTTTAAAATGGACAGGAAATTGAGTTATGATACACAAAGTATGTTCAAGAGTACAGATAAGGAAAGGAATTGCACTATTTTTATGTATCAAATCGACATTTTTTTGGAATATGAAATTTCCTCTTGGCTCTGTGAGAGCTGGACACATTGGCAGCTGTAAACCTGCTTAAAAGGCGTGTAGGCCTGTTATTTAGACAACTCCATAGCAAAATTAACACACTTATGTCCACAAGAAACTTTTTTTGGAAACTCCCGACCGTTAGCCTACTGAGCATAATGTTATCTCCTACTGAATTAGGAACATGGCCCTGGTTAGGAACTATTTTACATTTTTATTCCATTTAATCATCTTGTATCCAGACACCAAGAATTTTAGCTTTAAAATAATGTGGAGTTTTTTAGACCTCAAATTGATCTGGCGTATAAGAAGACTCATTTTGTCACGACACTTTTTTTATGCAGCCCCAGTAAAATAATGAAGTCTATGGATGCTTTGTTTAAACATGTTGCCTGGAAATATTGCGTTTTAGTTAGAACATGTTTTCCTCGCCAATTTACAGCCTGTATAAATATTTCCGCTCTTTATATACAATGTTTGTTTATAAACTCAACTTGACTGGAAATATTTAAGCATTTCCACATATAATCCAGTGATAGTCCTACGTAAAAATTGAATTGCTTCGTCTGCCACACTTAATAATTGGATAATTTTTTTTGAATGATCTGTTTGAATGATCAATTCAATGTGTTACCAGTTTTCGTTTTCTCCTGTTGATTTACCCACATGCAGTAGGCCTATTACTTATGAACGCAATGTAATGTGACTCACAGGCCTGATTGATTCAACAACAAACTGATACAAAACAATCTGTGACGTCAATGGTCCCTAGATTCCAAAAATCAATTACAAAAATACAATAAAAATAAATAGGTAAAAACATACTGTTATCAATAATTGCACCATGAGTCACAAAATAATTATCGACATCTTAATACGATCGCTTCCAGATAAACACTCCAAATTTGACTTCTTGATATACGGTAGGCAGTGAAATTTAACTGTTCCCTGATATAGGTATCCTCAGTAAATAAAAATAGCATGTGTCTTAATATGACATAAAGATTCCCGAGAAAATTTTGATTTCAACCCAGGAGTGTAGGATTGAATTACAAGAATATTATACTGTTATTGCAGGCTAACTTCACATCTGTCACTGTGATAGTGACAGCTTCACGAGAGGCTTTTTCGTGAGTATTCACTACACATCTCCAGCTCATTATGAGTAATAATACTAATGACTTTTTAAATTAAAAACATTTTTTTTTTCATGAATTTAAAGCATGGCATGATTTGTTTATAGTGTTTTAGATCAAGCCTCCGAAACTGTCATTCAAATCAAGGGCGAGGATGATATCGATTTGGTGCTTTTTAAAATGCGGCATACAGAACAAATATAGAAATACAGAAATTTATCAAACGTTTTGAATGTTCACATTCTTTTGTTGCTCTGACGCTGTGAAATTCCCTTCCACCAAAATTCGGACTCGTTTTTGATGTTACAGAATTCAAATTAAATATGTATTTTGAATAAAATTGATTTAATAAGTTTGGTAATTTCTTCAAAGTAGTCTTAACGAGGGCGTTACATACATATGCTTTTGTTTTTGTTATTTAATATTACAATTCGTTATAATATCATAGGCCTTCGTCGTCAATGCATATTCTGTTTTTCTTAATTTACAATTTAGTTTAAGTCAGTAGGCCTACACTATTTTCCGAGGGTAACCCTAAAATTCCCGAAACACCAACAAGACATCCACTTTTGTGTAGTGATGAACTTTTAAAACCTAATTGTTGCGACGTTGTCATTGTATTTGTGTAAACTTTATTACATAGGATTGACCCTGATTGATCCATATTTAGTCCTTCGTATTCAGAGAAGCGATTTCATACTTATCCAAACACGTCGAATAGCCTATTGATATTAAATAAACATTCTCCTCACTTTGGCCTATTCTGTTGTCTCTATTTAAATAACAACTTCAAATAATATAAATTTAGGCATCTCATAAATACCCACTATGGTCAAAGGCTAACATGTTTTTTTTTTTTTGTTTTTTTTAAATAGTTTTATGAATAGCTTTTTTTAAATATCTAGGGTCAAACAATATCTGATCAATACATTTTTATCGACAGTTTATCAATCACTTACAGTTGTGTTATGTGATAAAACAGTTTACACGATACCCTGAGTGCTTAATGCACAAACAGAACATGTGTTCTCTTAATAAATATTAATAAATCACTTTGCTAATTAATATTTACAT